AACCTAGAATTTACTTAGATTACAACGCAAAAAAATGTTTCTGAGCGTTTCCTATACAAAGTGAACAAAATAGAACTGAAGTGATTTGGAACGTCAAACAAATGTGTAACTAACGAGGTGGGACGTACTAACGAAATGAAATGATGAAATTTTCACGGAGAAACAAAAGAACGGGCGATCTCGTCGTCGGAATAACATGTCACGTGTCTCGAGAATAATCCACTTGGAGGGTATCATAAAATAGGTAGTGTTTAATAATCGTCTATTTCGGGGGGAACGAGCGCTTCGAGCACAACCCTTTCGCGCTGACACAACACCCCCCCAACGATGATGTAGTGGTCGTTGACCGTGCAAATGCTGTGACCTCATTCCATCGATAAGGCGGCAGACAAATGACGAACATCAATATACTCTTATGAACGCCGCGTTTTTCTACCCTCGTCGCTACACCGACTCGGCGCTTTTTATGCGCCGGCGGAGAGTGGGTAATTTAAAGCTTGCCGCGATCACATTAAAGGCTTGCCTTTGACTGTTTTGAATAATTAAGTTTGTTTAAACTCGCCGAGTGTTGCTGTACCACATACGCAGTATCTACGACAATACATTATGACTCGTGACTTTATAGATCTATTGATACAAGTCACAATAATCATATAAATCACCGGTTGGGTAATATCTCGTCGTGTGCTTTCGCAAGTTATTCCTTTTCCCGTGCGCTCTGCTCTCTAAAATATACTTTCTTCGGCAAAATATAAACGTGTCATATTTTCCACGAACAAATAACTTGCGTTGCGACAAAACAAATATTAGTTCGGTCGTTTAGCCCGAAGATGTTTGTAACACATACATTCCCATTAAACTCGTTGTACTTGCAATTAAAATTTCCGCGTATCAAAAAAACGCTCCGGTATAATAACACTAGAAATTAGTACGTTATAAAAAGGTTTATTGTTCTTTGACATACCGATTTTCCTCGTACAAAGATTTTTCTCCGATAAACTTGCTGTACGCTCATATTATGTACACATAATACATTGTTGTGTTTGGGAAATTGCGATAAAACATGTGCGAAAAAGTTACTCCGACCGCTTCTGACCACTAACAATTCGAAAAAACAAACTCAGAGTTCAATGTACATCAAGTAGCGTTTTATGTCAAAAAAAAAAAAAACTGTACATTAACATAGTTTGTCAGTTTATACGAGTATTTGATTACAATTCTGAGATACTTACGAATGGTTCATTACTTGATTGACTAGAAAACGAGTTACACGAGTTCGATCAACTTTTCAGCAGAGAATTTAAAAAAATTGAAAATACGCACACAATATAGGGAAATTCTTATTTATTTTGTCGATAACTCGAAAAATATTAAACACACACTTGTAGAACTTGAGTCGATAAATGCGAGTTGTTAATGTTTCCCGATGAAAAAAATTCGACTTGTGCCTTTTTTACTGATAATATTCAATACTATTTGTTACGGATTCATTTGTATAGTTTATATTTGAATATCGTTTAATCGGTTGATATTTTTTCAAAGTTCTATTATTAACATGGCCTACATAGTGTTCAATACTCAAATGATTTATTCAATGGAGTTTGCCGAGACCAAAAATACAATATTTATGATTGCCATATGCCTATGAATTATACAGCACATAAAAGTTAACAGATTTTATCGTTCGATATCGAGGTTAGTAGATTAAAGGATTTGGGAAACTTTGGGTTCGTGCTTTTACTAAAAAAATTAAAGCATATATATATTAAAAGTCACGAGAACTACAAAGTCATCTCTAGAATATATAACAACATACAACCGATGTACACGTATAGTACATGACGTGTACTCCTCTCCCGTTTATTTTTTTAATTCAATTTAAATAAAGAAAATCAATTCAAAATGTTCGTACGCCGATCTATCGTTTACCAAAGGCCAGTGAAATACTTGCTCGACTAATCAATATTTATATTATTATTGTTAATTAATTGCTATTATTATTTTGATTTATCGACTACAATTATATTGAGATATTTGTTTTCTTTGATTAAAATTCATTATTATGCAAATAATAGTGTCATTATTGTTGTTCGTGATCGAGTAATATTCACTCTCGAAGTAAATTAATTCATCGGTATTGTTACCGTATTAATTAAAACGTTTATAGTTTTTTGAAATGTGAAAAAGCTGCTTTTTTGCAGGTTTTCTTTTTTCCCCTCGGCATTTACTTTGATTTGAAGAACGCCAGCCATCAAAAGCGGGAAAATGTGTATTTTGTTTCCGTGTAAACATTTCTCTCAAAGTCCTCACATAAATTACATAAGATTTCAAATGAAAAGCCATAACAATATACTGCCGTGTTATTTTCGCCCTCTTTCTTCGTTTACCTCCTTTTTTCTCGTGTAACCGCATCGAGTATGTCGTTTGATTTAGTTGACATACGCGTTCCGTCTATTGTTATATATATTTTAATTAATTGCAACATGTATTTGTGCATGTCTGGTGAGAGTGCATCTGTCTACAGGTATCAGTTATTATTTCCGAATAAATGTTTGTCATATTTAATTGGAGCGTATCTTTCAATACAGTCGATTTTCTTCGTTACTTATTCCGTTTAGTATTGAATTTTCTCATGTTCGTTTTAGTTAAGCCTACGGTATTTAAAATATCATGTACGGCTTATAAATAACTTGATTAAAAATTAATCGGACCGCGAGAGACTTTTTAGTGTTATGGAAAATCCTACTCTTTTTTTTTTCTCTCTTATTTATCGTCCGCACAAATTTTAAATTAATTTAAAATCTCGGCAGTCGGACAGGAAAAACAAGAGCTGAACGATATTTACTTTTTTATTAGTCTTCTCTCCGCCTAGCCTTTTTTAGTAACCATCATAAAGACGCAAATTTAACAATCGGATGCTGAAACGTGCAAAAGTTTTCCACAAAACTTTATCCCGGCACACATTTCATAGTTTATTTCAAACATATAACACACGCAACATGCACACGAACCATATTTAATTAGAAATATTTTATTATATCGATAAACTCAATGCATTGTTAGTAAAATAAAAATAAAATCTATTGCGTAACAAAAGCTGGAATTATAAATTCGTCGGCTTAGTCTCAAAGTAACAGACAATAATTTACATTTTTCAGCATAAAAAATAACTTTTATCATAAATAAAATTCTATAGTTAATCAGTTTTTCTTTTTCGAGAATTTTTAATTCGTTTATTTTGTTAACTTTACCTAATATTTCATTAATTTTATGGGTGAAATTAATTTTATTCAAAATAATTTCAATGGTAACCAAATCGGTTCTATTTTGAATAGCTTTAAGGTAATTGCACGTTTACCTTTCCCCGTAGATATATTTAAAAAGGCCATTCAATATTGAAAATGGCAAGCTCTCTCGTTTACACATTGTGGTAATCATGAGAGATATGAGTGTCATATGCCCTCCCGTGACAAAAATTATTATTTAGCAAAGATATATTACTTTTTTTTTTGTTTAGCGAGTAAAGTGAACATGTTTCTCGTATATACCCCCTCCCCCAAATAAAAAAATCTTAATTACACTACCGCGTAATATAATTTATTATATAAAAAACGATTAGTTTAAATAATCAACCAAAAACTATCCGACTTCCCCATCTTAAGTAAAAACACAAATAATTGAGAGTAAATTAATTAAGAATGATGTACTTCAAAAACTCGAAAAGTAGATATCTATAATTATTCCATTTCTTTTGAAATTAGCCTCACTGTCTTTTTTGTCGTTTTCTCATTATGAAACATTTAAATAATCCCTATAAACTTGTTAATACAACACGACTCTAATGATAGCTGCCACTGACTAATAAAATGCGTTTTAATTCAATTTGAACTTGATGTAAAAATTATGTTACTTAGAATTGTACAAGTACCTACCGTATTAAACTTTCAGTAGCAAATTCCTATTAGCGCTTATAATTAATGTTTGAATAATTACTTTTGAGTAGTTTTTAAAACAAACTTTAAGTTAATTATTATATCACACAGAAGCGCATAGTAAATACAATTGTTCTAGAAACATTTCATTGCGAATTAAAGTAAAGAATATTTGTTTTAATTTTATAACAAAATAACGAAAGTTAAAATTGACATGGCTAGGAACTAAGAGTAGTCAATATTATTACACTGCCTATGCTTAATTCTTTGAGCGAATTGATACTGCACAACTGTGCTGAATAAACAGTTATAATTAACGGGAAAAACTTTTGCCAGAGTAGTTATGAAATATGTCTCAATTTAGTTAATATGTTTTCTAAATATTACAAAAAAGTAACCAGAAAAATGCTCTAAAATATAATCGGTAAAAACAGTTCAGAGAAAAAAAATTTAATAAAAAATCAATATTTTTAGGTGAAACAATTGTCAAAACGTCTAGTCGTTATTTATGTCCTTTCATTTTTTCTGTTATTTTTTCTAAGATTAAAAAGAACTCACTTTCATATACTAAATTTAATTTAACTCCTACACAGAGTGTTTCAAGTAAGATAAAATCATACACTAAATCCTCTGGTATGCTTTAATTGGTATTGGTTTAAATGTTCACTGTGGTACTTTTTTAAAAGTTCTTTCATTTCAAATCATTAAATACTTTGAGCTTGAAAAAAACTTTTTTTTTTTACCAAATGATTGGGAAGGCCTTTTGTAAAAAAAATTTCCTTTCGAATACTGTAGGTTCGCTTGATTACATGTAGTGTGTTTAATGAGCCATATCATTACATTAAACCGTTTCGACAAAATAAAATTTTTTCAGTAAAATAAATAAAATTTTACAAGTCAGAGTATTGCATTAAACGCATTCATGTATACGCATATTTCCTGTATGCGAACTCAATTTTAGTATCGTTTTATTTTATTTTCGTAATAAATTACTTATTTTTTTTTAGTAGTAGTATAATGTAATCGTCAATAGTTTTGTGTATAAAAAATTGTGTTCATTTGTTTCAGGTTAACTGAGATAGCATTATGAGTCATGACTTCCATACTTGAGCCCCAGTGTGGCCTCTGTATTCTTGGCGGACAGTAAGTATCGCCACGGTGGTCGTTTTAGCTTAACGCAGCAGACGATTCGCTGTCCGAACCACACCTGTCCATTACACCATGGAGTATCAGAACATTGTGCAGATTGCCGCCGGTTGGACGTCGATGGAACCCGCCATCCACAACAACACGCTTGACAGTGGGGGCGTCGGCGGGTTCAACAGCACAGGGACGGACAAGGAGATATACTGCGACGACACCTCTGGCCACGAATCCACCCTGTACCTGATCTCGAAAATACTCTATATCATCGTGTGCATCATCGGCCTTGTGGGCAACACGCTCGTCATCTACGTGGTCATACGGTTCTCCAAAATGCAGACGGTCACCAACATGTACATAGTAAACTTGGCCATTGCAGACGAATGTTTCCTAATCGGTATACCGTTCCTAATCGTCACCATGACGATGGATTTCTGGCCATTCGGCAACATCATGTGCAAAGTGTACATGACTACAACCAGTATTAATCAGTTCACCAGCAGTATATTCCTAATGATCATGAGCGCCGATCGGTACATAGCAATATGCCATCCGATATCTTCGTCCAAAGTACGCACGGCGTACGTATCGAAAGTCGTGTCTGTCACAGCTTGGACATTCAGCATCATACTTATGATACCTGTTATCATGTACGCCAACACGATGGACAAGGGCAACGTCATGAGCTGTAACATCATATGGCCCGAAAACGACTTCTTCAGCGGCCAAACAGCGTTCACGCTCTACTCGTTCGTACTGGGCTTTGCTATACCGCTCATGCTCATATTTGTCTTCTACATACTCGTCATAAGAAAACTGCAAACGGTCAGTAAGAATAACGTAAACGTTTTATTTAACGAAAATAAAATATATCGGAGTCTGTAGTATTTTTTTTTTTTTTTCTATTGAATTTATTACTTCACTAAATATTTATACTATTAAACTTTTTTTATTATTCTATATAACGAGAAAGTTTAAGAATACAGGAAAGAAAAGACTTTTTTCTTTAGATTTTCTTATTTAGTTTTTTTTTTTCCTATACGTATTCACTTTATGTACTGTACATGTTTTCACTCGGTCTTACGATCAACTGAACAATCGAACCTTCGAAGCTGTGTCGTCTATAGGGTAAGGTTTTCACGGTAAAAAGTTCCGCGCACACGAGTGAAAAGAATTAAGTTTCCTTTATTAAAATATCTCAAAAATTATTTCAAATCGAATCTAAGTAAGTTTCTGGAAAATTAAAAAATTATTAGCAAAAACAAATGCAATTAATAATACACGAAAATCGTTTTGACATCATAAAGTCAAGTATTATTTATTATTCAACAATCGGAAAACGTGCTATTGTTTAAACCTGTACTTACCCCTACTAATACATATTAAATTTAAATTAACCGCAGCAGATACGATAATGTTAATAAGATTGTATCGAGAAGCATTTCATTGTCTTCCTTTTGCCGCAAATTTAATAATACACATGCATTGAATCGCGATTATCGACTTAATATCAAAGCAAACACGATCAAATACAAACCGCAAAACTAATTGTTGTTCCCTAATTAAAAATATTCAGTATAATATTTGTACACAAATACACTTTGAAACGTATTCTTCCGGGACAACTTGTGCAAATTACGTCTAATTGTATACGAAAAAATGTGCTAAAATACTCCAAGTGATGTTTTGCTGATTTCATTTATAATAATAACGTGACTAGATGAGAACTCGTCTACTAACATATTTCACGTGGTATTGATAATTCTAATGTTTTCTTATGTCCGACCGTGTTATCAGAAAACTGCACTGTTGCTGTCGTGGTAAACGCTTTACAAACACAATATTCTTCATTCAAGTTGATAATCGTCCTCTATACAACACATGCACTAGTCAATATCTGTATAATTTCGATACAGTAAATGATTTTATCTTCTTCATAATCTTGAAATTGTTACCCTCTCTTAAATCGTCGTCGGCCTGGCTCGTTCGAGTGATTCGTGTCAACCTTCGGTGACATCAAATTTATTTTATTTTACTTACAAGGAGTAGGTTTGTTACGGTCTGCAACAACTGTTCGCATTTCTGTTGTATATATCCGTTTCAACGAAGAGTTTCATTTTAACATACTGTATGTTAATTCGATTTAACGTTTGTTTTTAGTTCTTTAAAATTCACCCTATGCTTATTAGATGTCTACTTTTATAATCAATGGTGGTTGGTGACCCGACCTTTTTTTACCGCTAGGTCATCATGGGGGTGGCGGCTCCACAATCCTTTGCGTGCCCCAAATCGTCACCTCTCGATTTTATTATGATTCGCCGGAGAAAACGCCATTAATTTTAGACGTAATTTTTACCAAAGAGCCTCTAGGAACTACATTTTCATAGAAATTAAATGTTTTTTCAAATGCGAAGATTTGAGTACAAATCTGTCGGTATCAGCTAAAACAAAAACAAAATGAAACTGACAACAGCAATTTTTAAACGTATTTTACGCGTGATAAAAACATTCGAAATTGTAATAATTCACATTTCTTTTGAGTTTAAAAAAGGAACAAACCTTTGCAGCAAACGCTTAGCTCGCCCAATCTAAATATTTACCCACAATACAATGTTGTGCTAGACACAACTGTTTTTACCAACTACAAACAATATAAATCTTCAACGTGCCAACTTTTTTTGACGTTCAACTAGCATGTTTACTCTATGTTTATGATGCGAGCTCGTATTGTTAAAAAATAATAATAACATGGTTTTTTTGTTCAGGTGGGTCCAATTAATAAGTCGAAGGAGAAAAAGAAATCGCATAGAAAAGTCACCAAATTGGTACTGACAGTCATCACGGTGTACGTGTTGTGTTGGTTGCCGTATTGGATCACTCAGGTGGCGTTGATATTCACACCGCCCAAACAATGTCAGTCCAACATAGTAATCACCATTTTTCTGTTAGCCGGGTGCTTGAGTTATAGTAATTCGGCCATGAATCCAATTCTGTATGCATTTCTCAGCGACAACTTCAAAAAGAGCTTCCTGAAGGCATGCACGTGTGCCGCTGGCAAGGATGTAAACGCGGGCCTGCACCAAGAGAACAGCACGTTCCCGCGTAGGAATCGAGGCGGTTCGGAACGGCTGAGGACCGGCAGGGCCACCACCATTCTGTGTCAGGCGATCGAGACGGGCACCGGCGTGTGCAGTGGCCGGGACGACGAGCCCGGTTTCTGCGGCGAGACGGGTCCGTTGGTGTGCAGTCACGCCGAACTGGTCAGTAAAGAAAATACGTCCACGGCGCTCACTATGACTTCTCGATCGACGTGCAACGACAACGTGCCGCCCGCCCAGCTGTAATTTCCGTCATTGCCGCCGCAGTTGGTCGTCCGGAATAAACGGCACTTTACTCTGACACCACGTTACTGTTATCGGGTTTTTCTTTTGTTACCATTATATATTGTTGGACGTGTTTCATGTATTGTCCCGTTGTTCACAGACGTGTCCAGTTTTGAGCTGATGTCTCCAACTCGTTGCGCAGTTCGGACTGATAGTTGCGTACCTCGTAACTGTCGTGTTATTTTCTCCCTTTGTCCTCGTTTTCTCGCCGACACTGTGCGTTTCCAGTTAGCTCGAGTGTGCCATAACCGCTCTTTCTTCTAAGACAATCGATGTGATATGAATGTTCATGATTAATATTTTTAAATAGTTTAACTACTCAATGGAATTAATCAAATATATTCCTCAGAAAAACGGTTTTAAAACTCGAAGAAAAAAAACACAAGATCGTTTTAAAAAATATTAATTTTTCAATCCCGGATACTAATTAGTTATTACCTTACAAATATCTCTGCGTAAAAAATTACTTAAAAGTACATCAGTTTTATAATTAATTACGCTAGATTTTACGTTCTTGCTGTAATTATTTATTAAACCAAATTCGTGTTTTAAAAACTAAATTTTGAATTAGAAATAAAAAGTCGTCAATCAAACATTTTCATATTTATAAATATAAATTCACTACTAACGACGACATTGTTAAATATATAAAAATTATATTACCAAATATTACATAGGACTAATTAGTTCTACGCAATGTTTAATAATCGTTCAAATGTTAAATTGATTGAAATATATTAATCTCCACAAATAGGGAATAAAATATTAATGAATTAATAATTATGAACACTATTATTCACTAAATTAGAAGAAAGAGCAATAACTAGAGTAATGTTAAGGTCTATTAAAACTTTTAAATGAAAAATCATATTAATTATAAAATGATTTTAATGACTCAATAACTAATTAATATTACCAACAACTTTCATTCAATACATTATTATATGTTCAAAGATGTACATGGACCGTTATTATGTAAAATTGTTTGTACATTTGTAAGTAAACTTTGTAATATTGACATACACAACTAAATACTTTATAAATGGTCAACAATGTTAACGTTTAATAATAAGGCATGTTATTCCAATATGTCTAAAGTAAATATTACTAAAAATGATTCACAAAATACTTTTTGCCAGATGTTCAATCAAAATTAAGACTTTATCACTATAAATATTAACTAATTGGCGGACCACCAATTCAATTTTGTACATTATATATTATCTATTGATATTATTTAATCATTAAATATAATAAACATAGTCAATAATCATTTTAATGCAAAGATGCATGATTTAATGTTAAAAATTAAAATATATAATTTAAAAAAATAATAATAAAAACTAATTGTATCAATTTACATGTTTATAAGTATTTATATATTAAAAATGTTTATATTTACAATTACAACATATATTTACACCTCTATCAAAACTTTAACAACTCAACTTTCAACATATCAGAGGACTTGATTTGTAAATTTTAATACTAACGAATTGTTAATTAATATTTGTTATATATACAAAAATAACACAGATATACATTCTTACTAGTAAATATTTACCAATAGTAATATATCTGTGTAAAAATACAGCTAGGTATAAGAGAAGTTTTATTTCTGTATTACACTATAAAATGTTTTTGGTACAAGTGTTAAGCATTATAATTAGTTTTAAATGAATTTTAGATCAATTATTAGTTTTACATAAAAAAAATACTTATAGCTTCTGTGTTCCAATAAATTAAAAATGTTTTATGTTAAAACAATAAACTATTTAATGAAATACAAATCAAGAAAATTTGTAATAAAAAAGATGAATTTTTATTATATATATTATATGACTAATTACAATTCATGCAACTCCAAATGTCAAGAGCAAAATAGTTTAGAAAATAAAATTATAAGTTTGGTTTTCAACTACAACTACATTCTTTATACAACATATTAAATGATGAAATGAATTATAACGAACAAAAATATTCATTTTTACTACTTAAATTTAAAAAAAATTAAAATAATGTTAAAAGAGATAGTAGAAGAAAATTGTATACAACGTATGCAAACACAAAATATTAATTTCTAATGGTAACATTATGATCCAATTTACTTTTTCAAAATGATATTTTGATTCATTAAGCATAGCAATTTTAGTTTAAATTAGAACACAGAGTAATGTACCAGGAAAACAAGATTCTACAAATAAAAATATGTATGTTAAAAAAAAAAAAAGACAACAAATTTTACAAGATAATAATACATTATCTACATATTTCAAGCTCATCCAATATGCATAGTTTGAATATGTTTCATTAGTTCTTTTCTATCTTCAAATAATTCATCGCATATATCACAAGTGATAGATTCAGCAAGAGAAATAGATAATGTTGGAGGCAATTCTTCTGTACTCAATTCAATATTAGCTCCAACTTCCTCCACATAATCAGTTTCAAATACTAATTCTGTCTCAATTAAGGATTCATTTGTTATAGGCTCCAGTTTAACATTTTCTTGAGTATCAAACTCAGTATTATCATGAATATAATATTCTACATGACCTTGATCATCATATTCCATGTTACAAACACTATCATAATCTTGAGTTTCAAAATCTGATTGTTCTTCAAGTAGTTCCATTTTAACATTTGTTAAATCCATGTCTTCAACAGATATTTGATCCTCAGGATCTTCAGGATTATCGTTTTCTTTAGATTCTTCACCTAATGAAGAATCATTTGCTGCAGAGTCAGATCTTGAAGAGTAAAAAATAACTGTTGGACAAGTCCTAGTACATTCTCCTTCTCTAAGTACAAAACTTTGTTTTTTGGGGGAAGATTCTGATTTATTATTAACATATTTAGGAGTATATGATGTTACTTTAGATGCTTTTTGATCACTTTTAACTAATTTACCATTAACAATTTTATATGTTTTTACAGAAGACTTGCTAGGACTTGTTACAGTTTGTGGTTTATATACCATATCTTCATCTAATATTGATTGTACAGCGTTTTCTTCTACTGTAGGCATAGGTTCATCTTCACAACTCTCAGTATCTGACTGACCAGACATTACTGTAAATACTTTTTCAACCAAACACCATGTATCTTTTCGATTTCCTAATTTACTACGACGTTTATACTTGCGAGGTCCCACCTATAACCATATTATATAACTATCAGCAAACAATAAATAAGACTTTTACAGTTATTTAATTTCACAATTTTTTTCTAATAAACTTAGAGTATTTCCTTACTAATTTGTGAGGAAATACTCTATAATTATAATTGAGATAATTATTTATAACATACAAATTTTAATAATTTAACAATTGCACTTACAGGTACAACTCTAGATTTAGCGGTGTTTTCATCACTGTGTTGTACTAGATGAGAACAAAGTTCTATTGATGATCGAAATAGATAGCCACATACTTTACACTCATAAAAATTTACTTGTCCTCCTCGAGCTTCAGTACCAGCATGATGGGCTCTAATGTGTTCTCTTAGAACAACCTAATATTATAATAAACTTTTTATTTTGAATAATGAATTGAAATATTTATTTATACTTAACTTCATATCAAAGAAACTAAATACTAATATTAAAGAATTAAAAATCTAAACAGCTCAAATAAGAAAATTATGTCTTGGAATCAAAATATCAATCTGTGATTTTTTGATAATCTAACTCATTATTTTTAGTAGCTAATAAACCAAATTGATTAAATTTTGAGTATTTATTTTAATTTTAAAGAAAATGTGTGAGTGAAATAGTTATCTAGTGTTATAAAAAATGTCTTATTTTATTTAATTTATTTAATATGTTAATTTTACTAACAATAAATATTTTAAGAATTGAAACTCAATAACCTACTCTTTGATTGAATGCTTTAGGGCAAACTGGACAAACATATGGCTTTTCGCCAGTATGTATCCTTTCGTGTTTTCTAAGGGTTCCACCATCAGCAAATGCTTTATTACAATATCTACAACCATAAGGTCTTTCTCCGGTATGTATTCGAATATGAATTTGCTGAGAAGACCTTGAGCCAAAAACCTAATAATAATACACCTATTAATAAAAAAATCATATTTATCATTAGCTCAACATTTACTTTGCCACAGCTTGTACAAGGAAATACTTTTTCTGTCGTAGAGTTTCTTGAAACATTTATAGTATTGGCATGACTTGCTTTATGATTGATTAATGATCTTTTATCAGCAACTTCTTCTCCACAAATATCACACATAACACCTTTTTCGCGATGAGTTATCATGTGTCTAAAAAATATTATATTTTTTTATTTTTGAACAAATTCTATAAAAATTAGTTTTTCTGTAAATAGTTATAAGCTATTAGATACATATATGAAACTAAAAATAATAGTAACCTTTTAAGACGTGCTCGAGAATGAAACCTTTTTCCACATATTATACATTTATTATCTGATGTATCATGGATCATTAAATGTTTTTGAAGAGCTTTATCATCTTTACATTGCTTCCCACATAATTTACAAGAATTGTCAGGTAATGTATCAGTATGCATTTGAGCTACATGATCTGATAGTTCATCAGTACTATCAAATGTTTCACCACAAGCTAAACATTTTGATTTCTAAAACCCAAAATTTTTAAGTAATTAATTTTACTTTGCTTTGATTTAAAAAAAAGATTTTTTTTTTATAAAAAAAAAAAAGAATAAAATTATGTGATTTTATGTGTACTAAATAAATTATTAGAAATTTAAATGTATTTTAAAAATTAAAAACTCAATGTTAAAAATTGGTACAAAATTATCTATAGTTTAACTCACTAATAAAAATATAACTTATTTGAAGTAAAATATATATTTTTAAATGTTACCTCAGGGATATTTGTAGGAATTAAGTGTTGTTCTGTGTGAGTTTCCAGTTCATTCATGGATTTAAAAAACATTCCACAATGTATGCACATATGAGCTTCTTCATACACTTCTTCTTCACTATTTCCAACTTCTTTTTTCATATGCTGCCTGAAAATAATTTAAAATAATTTAGATATTATTTAGGTGATTATTATCAAAACAATTTTTTATTAGTTTTACACAATATTTTATGACAAACATAAGCAACAAGTAAAAACGTGAGAGAGATTAGTAAAATTTTAATTCAATTATACTGATTATCAGAATGTCTTTATTACTAATTATTTAATTATTGAAATTGTTTGATTAGACATATTACTAATAAAAACAACTTTATTTGTCTTCGAAATAAAAATAATTTATAATATTAAAAAACATAACAAAATATTGTTATATTTAAAATAAAATTATTATATAAGAACTATACAGTAAAATTAAAATAAAACATAATTTTTAAATAAAAACAAGTATAAATAAGTGATAATCTTATATTATGATATCCGAGATAAGATATTGATGATAGTGATATATTGGTCATAAAATATTGTGATAGAATCAAAATATCAATATTTTAAATTCTATTTTTATATTGATATATTGTTTCTATCCTTATTAGTGATCCTTGATATGAATATTTTTATTTTTTTTTAGGAATATATAATACAAAATATAATATTAGCACATATAAAAAATTAAGTGAGAAATTTAATGATAGACAAAATACAATAGTCAATAGATGGAAGGAATAAACAGAAAAAACACAACCCAGCACAGTGGGGACGTGGCATAGTTGGATCCAGTATAGATTTAATCTGACAGTGATTAAAATCATTTTCTAATTTAAAAAAAATGCAAAATATTAATGGCCACAGGCGGATTTGAACCTGGTACCCTAACCGTAAAAGACACAAATGTTACCGATTCGGCAACTGTTCATCCCATTTACCAAGAACAAGGGAATTTTTTTCAATTTTTATGGGTAATGTCTTCAACTAGATACAATTTGTGATCTTTCGACATATTGTTCATCAAAATCGGTCCAGTGAGATCTGAGAAAAAGTCGCAACAGACACACAAAAAAAAGACACATCATTGTAAAATTAATACCTTGTCAGCTTCACATCGAAACTAAAATAGAGAAGAAAAAATACCAAATCACTCATAACAAATCTAAGCGATTGTACCTTTAACTCAAATACAAACGTAGGAATTATTAAATCAAAATTTGAAGACTCACTCAAAACAATGAAGAAAAACATAGCCTCTGACACAGATAATTAAATACAGCATTTTCTTAATAGAGACAAGAGATGAAATAAAAATAACTCTGTATTATTAGGTGAAATATTCAAGACTAGGAATATTCCAAAGATTTTGGTAGTAGCAAATTAATTATCTTACCAAAAACCTTAAACTAATCAGTGAGAAATGTTTAGGAACATAAGCTTGATATCACATACAGCTTAACTAACAATAATTATAAGCAAAAGGTTAAATAAGTTTATAAATAGACAAGAAGAAACTAGGGAAGCTAGGAGGAAAATTATTATTAAAGATAATACTCGAAAAGCAAACTGAGAGGTAAAAAAATCAATTATATGATCTTTGTAGACTTGAGGAAATTTAAAAAAAACACACATTATGATAAAATTAATACCTTCTCAGCTTTGCATCAAAGCTAAAATATTTAGTAAAAAACAATCTTTAAGTTGAAAAACTAAAAAAATATATGTATTTCATACTAATTTTTTAAAATAATTATTGCTTAAAAAAATTGGTGTTTAATATTAATTGACTTAAAAGTTATGCGATATCGTTATTGTCAATGCAATGCGCAATGAAATTTTAATCAAAATTTTTACAATGTCTAGAACCACAAGATATTACTTTTTAAACGGCAATAATTAACTTGTATTTTTATTTGGAGATATGCAACACACAAAATCAATAACAATTTCAACATTTTTAATGTCACATGCACACAATCAAAAAAAAAAAAAATTCATGAGTTACATGGTATTGCATTAACAACAATGATATGTCAGATAGATCAGATTCACGCCGGTGCCTTATTTAATCCAAATAATAAGTGAAAGTTTTAAATTAGTTTTGATAAAAATCATACTTTAAAAGTTTTTATTGGTTCAGGTATGATTTTTTAAGAGGCCATAATTTTAATCTCGTCTATTAAAACAAAAAAATTTACCTTTGATGTCGTTTTAAGAAATCAAATCTGTCAAAATTTTCCCCACAAGAATCACATGGATATGTTATGTCACTACTTTTCTTGTTAGATAATATTGTTAGTTCATAATTATCTGAATTTGATTTTTGTGTGGTAATTATATTAACACCATCATCAATGTGATGAAGACGTGCATGATTAAGAAGAGCTTTTTCGCGAGTAAATGATATTCCACAAGGGTTGCAAGTATGTGGCTTAGAATATAATTCTGAATTCCAACCTAGTGTAAGTAAACGATCTTTGATTGGGCGTCCTTTTCCTCGACCTCGACCTCTTCCACGACCACGTCCACGATTTTTAGAACTTTGTTCTTGATTAATACTTTCTAATGTTCCAGATTCCTCTCCAGGTGTTACACTACGTCTATTTACTGGATCCATATACATTAATTTATTCATTACTTTAGTCACCGATGTATCTTGATTTTCTAAAATCAATACAAAAAATAATTATTAATCATTAAATATGGAGCATTTTATTTAATTATGACAACATAGCAAAAATAAAATATGAATACATATAACTTTTTTTTTAATACTTAAACATCTTAAACAATGTCATGATACATTTAATTAAAGTTGATGTATTACCTAAAATAGACTACTAGATTTAGTAGCATACTATAATTTTTAGAAAATGTATCCATTTTGAATATTTTAGAATAAAATTGTACTAAAAAAAATTACAATATAGTAATTTTAAAAATAATAGATATACTGTGTAATTTTTTTTTTTTTTAATTTCATATATTTATTCTCTTTAATACATTTCAATACTATTTAACATTGAAACAACAGTAATATTCATTACTCTATATCAAAAAATTATAAACAAAAATTTGTACCATATCCTAAAATATAAAACTACTCAAATTTGTGTTTATTTCAGTATTTACAATTGTAGTAATATCTGAAAATATTTATGAAAAATATTACCTATTTTCAACTTTTTACAAAAAGTGCTACAAAAATGTTAAGTAGTATAATAAAAATCCTTAAATTTCTTAGATCCAAATCAAATTTATAAATTAAAACTTCAAAAATTGGCTTTACATTGTAAGATACTTCACTTAATTGTTTAGTAATGTATTTTGCAAAACATTACCATTATCAGATATATTTCCAGGACCAATGTGTATTTTCATGTGATTAGCCAAATCACATTTACGACGATAACGAACTCCACATAATGCACAACAAAAAGGACGTTCAGACTGATGTGTTACCATATGATTCATAAGGTGAGATTTTCTATTGAATCGTCTACTACAAAAATCACATGGATAAGGATTAACAGAAGATGATGCTTCCTCTCCTTCTGGAATTGGTATATCAATATCTTCATTAGCAGACATGCATTCAACATTTGAATCAATTACACTAGTGTGAAAAATCAAAAATCAAATTAATTTTATGATATTAACAAATCACTCACAATATTCTAACTTTGGACTAATTGAAATAAAAAAATACATACTTTTTAGATTAGAAATATAATTTTTATCAAATTTCTAATATAAAAATTATGTATTTCTATAATCAATATTTAAAAAAATAATGTACTTATTAACACTAGTAGTTCGATTGACATCCCAACTTTGAGTAATAATCTCTTGTTCTGGGCATTCTTGAACAACAACTTCTTCTTGAACATCAAAATATTCTTGAAATTCTTCTTGACTCATTTGTTGGACTTCTTCATCACTTGATTCAAATAAATCACCAGTATTCATTACTTCTTTAGCTTGCAATCCTTGACGAGAATCCTAAATATGTAAAATATTTAAAAGATATTGGTATAAATATTTCAATAAAGAGTCGTGTACCTTAAAATTATCACTGAAAGAAGATATGGCAGCCAAATATTGTAATCCATCTGCATATGGTACAGACTCCATAACAGCCCTAGTCATATTGTTGAGTTCACTTTTGCGATTATCACTGTTAGTTAAATATGAAGACTCAATAGTCTGCACAAGACAATTATTAGATGACATAGATTCAATATCATCTTCATTAAAATACTCAGTCTTCATTTTAGGGTCATCAATATTATTTGAATATAAAACAGTATCATCTCTAGCAAAATCTAGTGTTTGGCTATCAGAATGAATGGATACAATCTCTTCCACAAAGTCAGTGTCCATATTTTTAACACAGAAAAGAAAGATCTAAAAATTAAATAAGTCTGAACTATGCATAATTATAATTAGCTAATGAGTAGTTTATTTCCAAATTTCGGTGATTAATCAAATAATTAACAATAATCAAACAAATATATAAATCAAATTTCAATAATTCAAATAAACATCAAATCAAAATAGTAATAAAATCTTCAATATTTTTGAGTAAAAATAACAACAAAATCTATTTTTCCTAATATAAAAATTTAATTTGAAGGAAAAACATAGAAATTGGCAAGCATTCATAGTTTTACCCAAACTATAATTAAAAATAAAGCTTAAAAGCTTTGCTTCAATAGATGACAGTTGAAAGTTTATCATAGTAGATGAGTCTAATGTTTAAATAAATATATGTTCGACTTTGTTTTCATAATTATTACAATATTACCTATAACCTAAAAAAAGTTGCCTATTCCTCCATTAATTAATATTTTATGGTTAGTTTTTGTATAACAGGACGTATGTCCTAACTCAATTCAGACGATTAACGAAAAATACTTCGAACCTTGATAGTTAATAAAAATTGGAATCTAATGTTTTAAATAGTAAGTGAACAATTATCTCTGGTATTACTCATAGCAAATAAGCAAAGAAAGAAAATATTCATGGGAAAGGTCGTCTTATCCCCTTATGTAAATGGCGGACATGTTATGGTTGACAATTTTGTCCCTAACCTAATAAATTTTTGCAACTTTTAAAATACTCACATAATGGAACACTGTTCATCAGGATGATGATTAATGATGTCATTCTTGACTGTTTTCAATCACGGAACACAAGTTTGATGTAAAAATCTTCATTTAATAGCAATACGACGCCATTATACATGCAATTCACAAGATTCCATTTCCCTCCTCTACTACACCCCCTATCATTACATTATAACATAATGTACTCACTTGTATAATTCATGGAATAGAAAACAATAGACGTGCAACTTTTTGTCCTACCGTATTTTTTATTAGTAAAAAGTTACGGGTATACAATATTATGATAAATCATCCATAAATAAATTATTTCAATAAAAAATTAGTTATTACAATGTATTAATTAATTATATAAAGATTTTTTGTGAAAATACGTTATTTTCAAATTTAAGCTTTTTAAAATCTTATTGGCGTATTCAGCTGTAGAGGGGGTTAATCGTTAAAATGGCTTCCTTTGTCATCAATTTCTTACGTGACAACCAAATCTATAAGTGATACTGATATTATTTTACCTTAGAGAATTATATTATATATAGTTAGTCCAGTATCTTTACGTAAACATTGCCTAGTTGTTTTCTTCAATAGTTGTTTTAAAAATTCATCGTTTGCCACCTTAATTTTAAGAAATTTTATAATGAGCTCTGTAAGTATAATTTCAATATTGTATAAATTTATAAACTTAACTATTTTTATTATATTTAGATCTCTAACGTTGAAAATCTTTCACCCCAAACAATTCGAAGAATAGTAAAAGAACAAGAAGAACTGATTAAAGATCCACCAGAAGGAATAAGAATTGCTGTTAATGATTCTGATGTTACTGATATTCAAGCATTTATTGATGGCCCAGGTAAATACTCATTAATTGAATAATATTCAAGTATTGATGATAAATGTATTTTTGTTTTCCTGGTAGCTGGCACACCTTATGCTGGTGGTCGTTTCAATGTAAAATTAGTTCTAGGTAAAGATTTTCCTCATACACCGCCTAAGGCCTATTTCCTTACCAAAATATTCCACCCAAATGTTGCTAGTAGTGGAGAAATATGTGTTAATACTCTTAAAAAAGATTGGAAATCTGACTTGGGTATCAAGCATATTCTACTGGTATGCATATTGTATTCAAGATTACATTTTTGGCGATCTTGGTTGACTAAACCTGTTTATTTTATAGACTATTAAATGTTTATTGATTGTTCCTAACCCTGAATCTGCTTTAAATGAAGAAGCTGGAAAATTATTGTTAGAGGAATATGAACATTATTTCCAAAGAGCACAAATGATAACAGAAATTCATGCTCAGGTAAATTGTTTGAATAAGCAACCACATACTTAAATTTGAATGAAATTGGAACCTAAAATTTTCTTTGGTTTTTTAACATTCTATAATTTTAAAATTTTAACTCATTGACATATTTTAAAACTTATTATTCTCTGAGCCTTTTTTAAATATTTTAAATCAAGTAAAATGTCATTTTTGATCTATAAATTCTATTGAACATATTTCATTGCTTTTTATGGTATCAATGTTTTTATTTTCATTGGTAGTTTAGTTGAATTTTATACCCGCATATTAAAAAAAGAAATATTTTAATAATCTGAGAAATTTCTATTCTTAACTATCTTTTTCATAAAAACAATCTCTATCTGATAATATGTATTAAAATTTCCATGTTAAGGGTATCTTTTAGATTTCTAAATATTTAACATTTATATTTTTTACTGGCAAGTATATAAGTATCATTTATATGCTGTACCTAAAATTCAACTTATTTAGTTATTATTTTATATAGGTATCTCCCATATCCTTTCAGTATAAGAAATGTAATTAATTCTCAACTATATTATCAAAAATAAATATTTGTTAATATATTAACAACTAATGGTTTATTATAGGTACCAAAGAGTATGAAAATAGGTCGTGAAGATTCTAGTGATGGCCCAATGGCAAAAAAACATGCTGGCAGTAAACCATTATTAGATAAAAAGAAGATATCCAAAGATAAAAAGAAAACTTTAAAGAGACTTTAATAAACTTATTTTTTATATTGATTTTATTTATTATTATTTTGGGTGATGTTTTATACAATATTTTGTCACTACTATTTACTTTATAGCTCTTTTGGTATCCAATTTGTTGACTATATAAAATGTCCAAAATAGAGTTAACTTTTCATTTTTGATTTGTATTAATAGCTTAAAGTTTTGATTTTCTAACAAAGCGTTATGCAAATTTCAAAATTGTATCCTATCTTGTAAATAATGTTTAATAGTTCAATTTATTAAAGATATATATATATAAATACATGTACATTTCTAAAATTGTCTTCACCTTTATAAAATAATTTTTTCAAGACATAAGATAACATATGTATAACTTTAAATGAAGTTACAAATTTTTTCATTTCATTTGAAATTATTTACATTTACAGTTGGCAAGTACATTATTGAATAAGATAATTTTAATTAATACTCTTCACCAAAATTTATTTACAAATAATATTACATAATTAATCAGCTAATTCATTAGATGTACCTTATATATGACAAGTTATACCTAACGGTAATTAAAGAATTTTCCTAAAACGGTGTCTTCAAGGAAAAATCCATATACTTTTAGGTTGAAAAATTATACTATTTACACTTGATACTTCTTAGTGGCAAAGATAACATTTTTACAAGAACATCTTATGATTGAGAAAAACAAAATATCTACTAGCTAGGAAAGTTGAATTCTTAACCTTTTAGCTTTATACTTAGCAGCTAATTACAATTTCACCTACTGTAATGAACTTAAAAATAAATAATAGTTCTAAAATGCAATGAAATGAAATATAAATTTTAATTGTTCTATATTTGTTTATTGAAATTTTAGGGGACTCAATTTTTTTTATCCTTAAATAAAAAATTATGTTCTCCAATGAAACATATTTTTTTAATAAAAAATGATACCTAAAAATATTACTATGTTAAATTTCTTTTAATTCAAAAATTAACTGACATTATCATCTAAAATGTTTAAAAAAAAAATTCCTAACTAGCTACATCTTAAATTTAAAAAATACCTAAGAATTAATTAGAAAAGAAAATATTTTCTTACATATAAGAGTAACTACAGTTGAAAAAAAAAAGATTGGAATTTCATAAAAATTTATTAATATATGAAAGATCCCAATGTCATAAAAAAAACCTATAAGTAGAATATTATACAAATAATTATATAAATGTAGATAAGTTTGCTTATAAAATTGTATAATTATATCTTCATTTTTCTAATTACAATACAAAGAAAGCAATATTAGTTTTTTAACTAATGATAGTTAACACAACTTTTTAAATTGTCAAAAACACTAATATCCTTAAAATTAGTTATTAAATAGAACAAAATACTATGGTACATAAATTATCTGTGATTAGTTATTTTTGCTTTTAATAAAACTGTCAAGTTGTGCATCTAATTCATCTTTATTTGGAGTCTTCTTTTCATTTCCTCTGCCACCACCTCTACCACCACGTCCTCTAGAATTTCTCTGGTTATTTCGTCCACCCCTTGCACCTCCTCGATTACCACGAAAACCTACAAAAGATATATTGAGTCTAAAATTAAATCAAGTTCTAACATTTCAAATACATACCTCCACGATTTACACGTGTTGGCAAGGTGGGTGGTCTACTAAGACGAGTAGCAAGAGTAGCAACTGTTGATAAATCAGTGGCAAGTTCAATTTTCATTGGTCGACCTAAAAATAATTTATTAATATGAAATCTTAAGATATAATTGAGACCTATAATTACCATCAAGTGGAACATTGTTATATTGGCGAACTGCTTTTAATGCTGCATTTTTACTATCAAAAACAACATCAGCTGTACCTAAGGATCTACCGGATCGATCATAATGTACAGTCGCTGTTTTTAGAGGTCCAAATTCATCAAATAATTCCTGAAATATAGAAAATTGATTAGTATATTAAGTCCATAAAAATGAACTATATGAAAGATATTTGCATAAATACCATTTCACCAAAAACCCAATTCACAAAAACAACGATAATTGAATTATTTTAAAAATTCCAAAAATTAAGAAACAAATCAATGGTACAAATATTACTTGATTAAAACATATTTATGGTTAGACATATAGTTGAATATCTGCAGTAGAAGAAAAATATGTTGATTTAGGATTCGTTGATACAGCAATTCCAAGAATAATTTTTGAATTTAATTATTTGAGATGTAGTGTTTATTGATTATGAAAACATATCCATGAATTTGATAAAATAATCACTTGTTCAAATAACTATCAATTTAGTATTTTTTGACAAACCAAATTAAAAAAAATTGTACTTTAGTAAAGAACAATTTTTTCCTTTCATGCTTTTTTATTAGTAACGGTATGTAGTAAACAAGTTTTGAATAAAAGAGTATTTAACGATTCTAAATTGTATTAAGTTTTGATGATTGTTGATACCATATTTTCCTTGATTTCTTGACTAATCCTTTATGTTTCAATGAACTACTGTAAGCACGTTCCAAGACTTTATTTGATATATTAAATATTTATCCATTGATCAGTAGTAATATAAGTGCAAAATATTTCAAACAATAACAATGTATACCACCAACAATATTCTCATATAAAGACCAAAAATAATCTTTTTTTTAAAATCACCTTTATTGTTAACTTAAATAAGTAAAATAAAAAATACTCATTTAAAGTTAACACCTCTATATTGACAGCAAAATAAAAAATTACTCATAAATATTTAAGACAGAAGCTTTTTCAAATGAGAGATTATGAAATCTTAAAAACAGTAAGTTGGCCTAATTTAGAGCATAAATGTATATATATACATATAAATATGTTTTTACAGGTATATCTTAAGTGTGGAATATGTTACTCAGCTTACATTTGAAAATATATTTATAATCTTCTTAATTATAATAGATATTAATTGGAATAATAGTAATTAAAATATGTTCATTTTAAAGATGTAGCTCCATTATTTAATATATATGATGTAGATAAAATGTTTTTTTCTTTTTATACTGTATAACACTTTTAAAGATGTAGCAATATTATTAATGACGATGTAGATAAAAAAATATTTCTTCTTTCTCAATAACTGTATGGTATATTAAAGATGTAGATCCATGATAAATTAACTTAAGAGAATATAATTAAGTCAAATGTATTCAATGCTTTTAACTTATTACAACCACACGTATATTAAAATACACTTGTATTTTATTAAATACTACTATATGTACCTGAGAAAAACACTATGTGAAAGACAACATATTAAATATTAACCAATAAATCTTTCATTGCCAATTAATCAATCAATCCCTTAGAGATTCAATCATTTAACATGTGATCATTAAATAGTCAAGCAAAATTCTGATCAGCTCAAATTTGTATATCTTAATATAAAATGTCACATTTATTTTCAACTAATGAAGACTATTTTCATTGGGATCGAATTCAATAGGCAAGACTTCTAATATCATAAAAATAATGGTTACAACCAAATAAATTGTAAACAATTTATCTTGAGTAGCCAGGTATGGAATTTATAGAGAAAACATTATCCATGGGGAAGTATTCTGGACAGCCATTGGCACAAATGTAACCCAAGCCTTGCACTGTTAGCAGAATTAAAATGTGATGAACATTCTATCTAGGTATCTTCAAGCTGCCATCGGCTGAAGATGCCTGGAAAAATAATGTTTTTGTATTTATTTATAATAATACTACAGGATTTTTTTTTTTAATACACCACAAGTTAATAAATAATACAATTAGGTAATATAACTTAAAAAATTACTGTTATCTACACAAATCAAATATTCTGCAAATAAATAAAAGTAAATAATTTTAATTTTTTAAATACTTTAAAATTCCAATATATATATTTCTAAAATAGATTTTTCCTAAAGTAAATTTATTTATAATTTTAGAAAAACTATTTTTATACTAAATATATTAAAATCCATTACTAGATGTAGATTTGAGAATTATATAAAATTTCTTGGATTTTATGACATTTATATTGTTTAACTTTTTTTACCATTTTTCGTCAATGAAAGACTAACTCTTCTAATGATAAAATAGTGATTTTAAAACATGAAATATTAATATTGCCTTTTTCTCAACAAGCTACCATTAATTAAGCTAAGGCAAAAATGTATTAGTCATTATTGCACAACATTTTTGGGAAAAAATAAGAAAAACTCTAATAGATATAAGCATATTACAATAAGTCTTAACTATCTAATAATCAAACCTGTATATCAGTAGAAGTAACTCCAAAGTCCAAGTTTGAAATAACTATTTTATGTATATTTGTAGTTGAAAGTCCACCTCTTACATTTTGCCTTTTTGGTCCTTCATACATATCATGAGTCCATGATGCATTAACGTCACCCTAAAATTAATTCAAACAATATTGAACATGAAAATTAATCAAAAAATATAAATGTAAATGTACAAATTTTGTATTCAATGGTATGTTAAAAATGAGAAACAGAATGCTGAAATAGATGCAGTCTTCTTAGTCAGGAAAATGGACGGTAGCGCTTAGCTATGTAGAATTCCCATTCTCTTTATCAAAAGCCTAGCTTTTCAAAAGATGTTAAAATGTAATATTTAATAATCATAATAAAAATATAGGCTTAATAGCTGGCAAATTAAGAAATGGGTAAATTAAGTTTATTAAAAAATATAATATTAAGTAGAAAACTGATGAAATTAATTAAACAACCTAAAACTAATAGAAGTTGTAAGAAAATGAAATAAAAAAATATTCCTTATTAGTTATCAAATAAAATTATCATAACATATTAAGGAACTTAAATTCTTCGAACTAAAAACAACTTATTAGAACTATCATTATTTAAAACAAATACGATAAATCTCAAATATGTCAATTATGTAATGCGGAGTGAATATAAACCCATAGCTACTTTAGAAGTAATAGTTTACCTTTGTATATGGTGAAAACCCATTTGAACGCCTTGCAATGGGTCTTCCTCTACGCATAGGGCCTCCACCATTTCCATTTGAACGAAAATTGGATCCGCCGCCACGTTTGGCATTACCGCCTCTGGAACCTTGTCGACCACCACCACGACGGCCACCACCACGAGAAGACGACCTTTTTGTCTTTATAAGTTCGTCTAAGCTGACATCCATGTTCACAAATGTGCGTTATTAAATAAAGAAAGAATTTACAACGTAACGTAAGCTAATAAGAATATTTTCAATATAAGACAAATAGTTGGACAGCTACAAATGTAATATTTCAGCAAAAGTATGAAAAATAAATAACAACACTAAGGTAACCACGCTACAACGTGCACAGATTTTCAACAAAATGGCCGTAATGAGGAATGAGATGAGCCGCAATGTTAACGGAAACGGATTCAGAGACGACTATTTAATTGAACGATTGATGCTACGAAATATGGTGACTAAAATATGGTACCTACGCTCATTTTATACAGGCTGTTCAGTCAATGTAAACAACTTTTAAATGAAACAATCTAACATGAATGTTGGCTATACTGGGAAAAATCGCGCCAAAATATTATAATTATTTTATAGAAGCTTATTTATAATAGAACAAAGAAAAAATGTATTTTTGGAACAATTACTTACTCCGGGAAAATTATTGACAAAGGTTGGAAAATTTTTACCACTCGGGCACGAACATTATAAAATTTCGACCGTTATCGAGAAAAACACTCGATGACGCTAACGTTTACGACTTAAGGTTTGATATTTTCACCAGAACCGCCCAAAGAATTTTTGATATTTAAAAAATTAATTCAATCCGTTTATTTTTTACCGTTCTACAAGTTTTTTTTTTTTCTTAAATCTACTCGCATTTTTTTAACAAGGGTATCGTTTCATTATTGCGCATATATATAGTTTAATCAATGGCCTACTTATGAAGATGACTCAAAGAAGCTTACACGACTTTGGCTCGTAAGGCTCATAGGGCCCCAGGTCTGGAGCAAAAGTTCAGTTAAATATTATAAAATTATATTGCTTTATTTGAATGTGAATAAATAAGTTACCATAAATTTAGATGTTGAAATTAACAAACTTGAATTCTATGACATATTTAAATGTAAACTAAGTAGACTGGATCAACAGTTTTTTATAGAAAGATAATAATTTTTCTTTTAAATACCCTCCTTGCAATTAATAATAAGAACAGAAAAAATATTTAAGCCCATAGGAACCTAAAGATAAATACACTACTATTTTAATCTAATTTAATGTAGATAAATATTAAATAACACTCAAAAAAATGTATATTTTATAATTACAATAATGAATTTATGAAAATCAGTATAATCATTTATTGAAACTTTGCGGGTAAAACTCGCGATCTATTGGAGTTTGCTCCTAAAGCTGTATCCCATATTCTTATTCCAGAATTCTGGTTGAACAGATTGGATACTTCAACAGTCCTGCGGTTTTGAACCCGGATGGGTTCTCTGCTAAAAGCATAACAGAGAGACGTTCGCGTCAGCCACGACCAGTCAAAGGCTGTTTTCGCATCACTGGTAAACCGGGGGATTTGGAAGCCCACGCTGTCGGTTAAGTGTGCTAGATCCTTGGTGTCGGACTCGGTTGGGCTTGGTTTCAACCCTTGTAAGACACGTTGGGATTCGCTGGTCCGTCGTGCGCGCATTACCCTTAATATGGGCAGAGGGTCGCACTCTGTTCCCAGCTACGGTTTCTGTTAGGGGTCGTGGTGTTGTTTAGCCGTGCACCTTAATTACGTCTAAAGAGTAGTTTTGGTGGTGGGCCTTTGCGAACCCACTCTAGGAATGGTTTCTGCTATACTGGGTGGGAAAGGGCTACGGCGTCACCTGTCATAACCGTGGACAGGTCGCGTTGTCCACTTTCTTGCTGTAATAGGTAAACAGCCTACAATGCAGACTCCGTAAATGGTTAGTGGACTCAAGACTCTCCGCAACTTTGCCTCCGCTGGACGAGGTGGCCAATCCGGCCCCCCTCCCCGGACGGCAAGGAGTAACTATAGGTAGATAAATATTAAATAACACTCATAAAATATGTATATTTTATAATTACAATAATGAATTTAGGAAAATCAGTATAATTATTTATTGAAACTTTATTTTCCACAAATTTCAACATGAAAATTATATAAAATAAATACGATTTCATCAAAAAAATTATAATATATTGGTTTTTTTGCGATTATATAGACTTATTTAAAATATACTCTTAGTTACAAAATACTAAGATAGGTGAGTGTAATAGAAGCGTAGACCTTATTAACCCGCAACTATCTTGTTCTTGATTTAAATTATTATAATGTATCTCAGGTAAAAAATTATAACTTAAACTGTTATAAATTTGATAAAACTTATAAGGGTTTATGTTTTATAATATAACTTCAATCCTGAACACATAAAAATCTTTCAAAAATTCTGAAATTAATTGCATAACATTTTATTATTTAGTCGAATTTCCTAACATTGAACTACGATTATTTATTTTTTAATTATGAAACAAAAAATAATTTATTTGATAGCATACAACTTACGAATTTTACTATCAATTATTTTAAACTATAGGCAAAAATAGATTTGATTCATTAGTTGGGCTGCATTTTTCTAATTTTTATAATACTTAGACAAAAAATAAGTTTTAATCATTTTTCTAAACTGACCTTTACTAATAAAGTTTAAAAAATCAATTTCAAAAAAAAAAATTTGTGTGTTAAAGGGTTTAAAATACCACATTACTGTAAATAAAAAAAACGGCAATAAATATCATCAAAGTATTTGTATTATAGTTGCAAAAATTTGTTTTTTTTTATAAATATATATACAAAATTACACGTTCAAAAAGCATGTCATACAACTCAATGAATGAAAATAATTATAAAGAAAAATAATTTATAAATAATGTTTCTGTTTAGTTCTTATAATGTCTGTGGGCTATGAGGTTACAGCTGGACATTCTAAAACAAAATAAAGTAATAGTATAATATAAGTTTACGGCACTATGTGTCATGTTTACTTAAATTTTTATAGTAACCAAAATTAATTTATAAATTAAATCCTTCAGGATCACAAAAGTCCCTTAAAGCGAAAAAAAATTGATATTATTTTACATCTACCGTGAAACTTGATCATTTTATATTCTGGTTACGTTGTTTAATTCTAATTGAACTATTTGCTTACTACAGACGGAACAGCCAAATTCATCCGACCCATCACCACATCCGTCACGACCTGAACACAATACCGCAGTTGATCGGCATCTACCATTCTTACATCTAAACGGACACTGATCAGGTGGACCACGAACCCGTGACATAGAAGAAACCGTTTTGTTGATACTCACAAAGATACCACTGACACACAAATCTTCACGTTCGTCTGATTTGTCGGCACATGTTACTACGGCATTACATAGTTCATATTCAGGCAAACACTTTCCGCCATCGCACTGGAATGTATATGGTGGACACCCTTAAAAATTGTCATGTTGAATTAATCACCAATAGATCTATTAGAGCAACTGAATATTTAAAAATAACCAAATTTATGCTGAAATTTGAATAAAATACTGCGATTTCGATTTATATTTGTAAGTAAGAGTAAACTAAAATATTCATTTGAAAAGTTTGAAAAAATAAATTAAAAAACAAATGAATTTTGTAAACCGATGCCTTGGAATGTTAAAGTATTTAATTGTAAAAACTAGTTTCAAACTTTTCCACTTTCAGATTAAAAAGGTCATGTTTATATAGATTTATGTCATGTCGATCGATTATAATTTATGTTCCAAAGAGAGTCTATTTTCAAAAACTCCTTGTTATTTCGAATATTTAATACCTACCTTCATTATTAGTAATCTTACAATCTTCTTCGTCGTCACCGTAAGGACAATTTCGAACACCGTCACAGCGTGTTGATCTCGATACACAAATATTTTTTAAGCCGTCTGCGGACCTACACTTGAATGAAGTGCTCGGACATTGTTGGATTCCCGAACATTCTTCGTCGGAGATATCGTCTTCACCGCAATCACCTTTACGTCCATCACATACAAAGAACCAACTTATGCATTTTCCACTTGACCGACACTAAAAAAATATTATTATTCTCTAACAAAATCAAACGAAAACATGCCCATGAGCATACTTAAAACAACCACGAGTAGTACTAAGTATAATCTAGTAACCAACCAATTTCTACCTGAAAAGTGTTTGGTAAACATCCTCGATTCTTTGCTGAACATTGACTATTATTAGTTTGATTACGATGTTGGCAATCGCACATACCTTGGATGCATCTTGAATTAACATCGTTTTGCATACATTGTGCATCGTTGAAACATTCATAACCGAGACTTGTCCGCTTTTTCGAATCTCCTTTTCTCAGTATCGGACCTGTAAAAATTGATCATTGTGTATTCGTTGGATCTACAAAGGACATAATTATTTACTTGTGTTTGGCTTCTCCTTAGATTTACTATCTGTTTGATTTATCTCCTGAGTGTCTTTTATATTTATTTTGAAGTTATTTTTTACAGGAGATTTTATTGACGTCAAATTCAGTGATGCATTAGAAAAAATTGGATTTTTAGTGCTAAGTAGTTGATTTAATGATAGTTTTAATCCATTTGTTTTATTTGTTTTAAGGAAAGGTCGAATTAAAAGAGGTTTAATACTTGTAGAGCTCGTAGTGGTTGAAGTTGTTGTACGTTTGAAGTACGGCACTTTTTTTTTTAGATCAGGTTTTCCAAATGGATATTTTAAAACAGAATTTACTGGTTTTGCTATAACAGATTCTTGAACATCCGTTGAGCAGTCTATTAGGGAATTACACACGCAAAATCCGAATACTCCTGGTATAGTGAATTTGCATTTATTACTTTTATTCGAAAGTTCACAATGCATATCACTGTAACATACGTCTCCCAGTTTAGCAGCTGAAAAATCGTTACAATCAAATATAATGACTCGTGTATAATAGAGTAACAAAGAAAAATTACTTATGCCAATTACATATCAATACATCATAAAAATAACTAAATATTCTATCGTATTTTTAATTTTTTGAGACGTGTAAGTTAATAAACAGTTTATTTAGCAGTTGCTGTTTAAATTATTTTTCGTTGCTTTTTGATAAAATTAAAAATCTGTAAAAATTGTTTTTACTTAATAAGTTTAACAATAAATATAACTACAATTATTGGCTTTAGAGGTCCTTCCCATTGTATTCGCCTTTTGCAGGTTAAGAATAAAAATAACGCATAAATGGTAGAATAACACATTTGTAATACATAATACATAATTAGTTATTATAAAATTGAACTATGTCGACATTCAGTTTTCGCAAAGGAGTCAATTAAATCTTCACAATTTAGTTCGTTTAACATTTAATTTTTTGTGTTGGGAAATGCGATATTATTTAACTTTTTATCAGTATGAGTTGATCTAAGATAGTTTTTGACGCATTTGAGACAAAAAACCTTTTCTCTGTAATACAATTGGACACTTGTACGTGTACGAAAATTCTTAATGGTATGGCAAATATTTGGAAAAATATTTTGGATTTAATGAAACTGTTTATTATCTTTTGTTAAATACTGTTTTTTGGGAAATAATCGCAAAAATTGTCATTAATAACCCATTTTACTGGGACGGCCTCCAAAATTAACATATTAAAAATCATATTAGTTGATTTTGAAGACCCGCAACTATCTTCTGATTCAACAAGTTCAACTTCTATAGGCAAAGTATTTTTTATTTTATTGTCACTAACCTGAGAATACGAATAACAATAAAATCTGTAGTTTTATCGTCACTAATTCTTATACAGAAAGTAGAGGAAACTGGTTTGACAAAAAAATTAGTTTATATCCATGTTTGGTTTAAAATATTTTATAATCTATTACTTTTTAATTTGGCAATATTTTTGTATTGATGACCACTTAACCTTTTCTATTTACATTCATATTCACAAAATAAAAAGAATATTTAACAAAAAATAAACGTAAATTAATAGCGCACCATAAATGAGCTACACGAACACTAGTCGAATGATGACAAGAACATCATCGGTTTTTCAAAATATATTTTAAGATAACATTAGTCAATTTTTTCGGTTTAAAAAACTCTACAGAGACAGCGATATAAAAGGTACTATAAAAGTAATAAATTTGTTTTTTATCAATAACCTCTACTATTGTTATCGGGAAAATGAAAATGGATTTGCTAGTAGCTATCAATAAACATATAATAAATACACAATAAATGAAAACTATTATGATAATTATTAGGAAGTCAATATGTCATCATAACAACAATAAAAACATAACTCGCTTTTTATAAATTTGTCGGCCTTTAATATTTGCGCCCCTCAAAATTTGTCGCTGTAGGCATTTGACTATAGTGCCTATGTATGCTGGTCTTCTGTTAGAATCTTACAAAAAAATATTGTAAATATAAAGGAGCCGTCGAGGATGATTAAAGCTATAAACCAATAACTAAAACGTAATAGGGCTTTACATTTTTATTTTATTAACCGTTTTGTATACTAATTAGTTTAAGAATATTTATGATAAAATCATTTTCCGAGTACAATTTTTTAACATTTGTATAAACGAAAATTTTCACGCCCTAGACATTACTTGCAATGACAATCGTGAAACCGCTATATTGCGTATAGGCTAGTCATACAATTTCTTTGTTATACATACACCAATACGAATGCACAATAAAAATATTTAAAACTGTAACACGTGTTCTTTTAAAACGGTGGAACAATAAAAACGTGCTAATATAAACATCATAAATGATAAAATCTACCTACTTTTTTAGTAACAAGCCTAAAAAAACATATAACACAATAAAATCTAAATTTTTTTATTTTACCAACGTAACTCCACATATATGAAAAAAAAGATTGACTGCATTCTTTGAAATATTTTGACGCATATTTCAAGAAATATATTTATAATTTTTTACATGACTGTAAACTTTACAATTTATATATGTTCAATGTAGGAATAAGTTTATACCAAAATTCTATTTTTTGTACTTAAAAATTAATTTACGATGATTATTCTTTTATTAAAAATAAAAATTAAGCTTTTTTAGCTTTAATCTTAAAGAAATAATTTTTTGAAGTATTAACAAAAAAAAAATAATAATAAATTTAGAATAGAACTATAAAAACGATAAGAAAAAAAAATTGTTATAACATTTTCTTAGTAATTCGTTTTACAATTAAGTGACCAATTTCGAGGATATTAATTTTTAGTATTAACTTTTAAAATTACTCTTTCAGAAAAATAATGGCACAAAATACTTAACATTTTTCATTAAATTGTGCTATCTACAATTTAAAACTACTTTATTAATTAACTACTTACTACTAAGAACATATAAATATGATAAAGTCAAACGGGATATTTATAATAACATTCCTTTATATTCAGGCCAAATCAGCTACGGGCTGATTTTTTAAATTCTATATAAGTATAATAGATCCGAACCAAATTGTATTACATGATATTGTGCCAAGATAATCATAGCAGGAGATTTGATAGTGTTTAAGAGTTTATTGCACTTTCTATTTAAAAATTTGCAGTGATAATCCCGTTTAACTTCGATTATTCTTTTTTGTGACTTATCCAGTAAAATATTTAATATATATTTTCAATGTGACACACGATGGATTACACTTTTACTAGATAATACAGTTGTTAGTACAATGTATCTTATTTCAATTATTGGCAAAAATTAATTTATAACAATTCCCAACCAGATGAAAAACTGTTACATTAATTTCACAAAAATTAATGTTTATTCAAATAGTTATTTTTAACAGTTAAACAATAGGTACCCATCATAATACTCGTAACACATTTGAAACTTATTACCTAACGGTAACAAATCAATGAGCCGTAATAAATAATTTTATTAATTATGAGCTATTAAAACATAAAATTTATGTTTTTTGAATAAATTTCCGTAAACAACGCATATTCTAATATTAATTGTCGCTGTCGTTGAAACAAATACCAGTCTGATAGCATATTTTTCACACTATTTTATGTATTATAATAATAGAATAATTACAAATACGTACAAAATATATAAAATGCAATATAGAATAATAATTCAATCTTATAATGTATTCATCGTATGTGTAAAATAAAGTTAGTTTCAATAACTAGCTTTACAAATCCATTTTTGATTTATAATTTATAGTTCATAAACATTCTACACGGCTCACCTTCATAATAAACTACGTAATCAAGAACCTATAAACGTACTATGTATTACATATTGATTTTTTACAGCACGGACATATAATAAGAATATCCAAAAATACACTGAATATTCTATAAATTATTCAAACATGTTAAGGATAATCAAACTTACTGTTAAAATTGTTAAAAAAATCATTTATTTAAATATTTTAACAACTTGTGGCTGTGGTTGGCTAAAGTTTTATCCTATTTACAATATACTGATGTTTCAAAAACTAATTTTTAATGTAAAACCAATAAAATGTCTAATTTATTCTTAAATATCGTCTAAATAAATAATTAGACAATACTTTATTTAGTTATTTAGAAAATTTATAAAAATTTAATTTTTATACTCACGACTTAAACACGTGTGTCTGCGATATTGCCAAAATTTTTCATCACATTGGCAAACATTATTTAAACATTTACTGTTAGCAACCTTCATTGAACATTGTTCATCAATCATACATTCAAATCCCAAAAGAGTAGCTATAAAAATTTATCAGATATTTCTACATTTTTATAATATATTCAAATATTCGTAACCCCCTCAAATTAGTTGAATTTCTTTCTTAGTGGGAGTGGGGTTGGAAATGGAATGTGGGACTATGGCGCTCACAGAAGAATTTTTGAAGTTGCGCCAACGATAATGGAAATAAGCTGAAATTAAAGTTTCGAGACATATTTGATAAAATAAACCAGCTCTCAAAAACACAATTTTTTCTATTTTAAGACATAAGTAAAAAATATAACATTTATCCTATCAAATCAATTAACTTATCACTATATAAGAGGTATATTATACAAATAAGCTATTTTTATATTATTTTATGACACTTTGAAAATTGTATTTAAAAATGATTTCATGCTAAATGTCTTTTCTAGACCATTGTGGGTTGACGAAAATTATATAAAGCAAAATACAAAATGATAATTGTTGTAAAACTTACTTTTATTTAACAATTATTCTCAAAAAATTTTTCAATACGCACTAATTTAATATAAAAAATGTTCTCATTAAAGCAGTAACGTATTTTCAAACAAATGTTGGAAGGGGTTTTAAAAGCTTTGTAATTATATTATATAATATTTATTGGGAGTATATATATATACTTCCAAAAAAAAAATTCTAGTTGCGTTACTGGAATGGTAATTGGTACATTTTTTTAGTCCAGCTATTGATATCGAGATGGGTCTTGACTTTGGAATTCTCCCCCTCCCAAAATATGTCACTGCATCAAAGAGTAATCAAATTATAGACAATGATAATTACACTTTCCAATAGACACTAAGAGTCGAAAGAAATACTTAAGGAAGATGCCAATTGATAGTTAATAATTCATTATTATTTTTGAACAATATCGATGTACTAGTTTCAATTGGTTGTTTGGATGTGAGCTAATTTTCTTTTCGTAACGTTTCATGTGGAATGACAAGTTGTAAGTTATTAACATTGTTGTTAATAATTATTATTAAATTAATAATAATTTATAAGTGTGTGTTACTTTGTAATCGTAAGCGCAACAATATTTTGGAAAGTCTAAATTGATTTTTTCCCTCTTTGATAAATATGTTAACTTTATAATGAGCTTTTAGAATTTTTTGATTGCTATGGCAGAATTTGGATGTTTAAGAACGCTAAAATACCCTCCAGATAACGTTAATATTTATAAAGAATCTAACATTATCTGTAAGTTTTATAAGCATTTAGTAATTTTTAAGAACATATTATTTTTTGGGAGTTTACTTTATATATCTTTTCTAAGTCATCCTAAAAATAACATTATTGCACTAAATCTAATCTTATCTAATTTTAATTTTAGATATATCCATCATACATTTCAATTATACATATTCATCGTAATACATATATCAACTAATTTTTTTATTTTATTTGCATAACTTAAGTCAAATTAAGAACATTTATATTTACATTGTAAACACATTTCATTAAATCTCGCATAGTATGGTAAGCACGTGCAAGTTTTTGATTCTCGATTACATATGCTAAATTCTGTTCTACAATCTTCATTTGAAGTACAACTATCTCCCAATTCGCCTCCTTTAACTTGCTTAGGGAAAAGCTAAAAAAAATTATTAAAATCAAAAATAATATTTTAAGGATCTTTTACTAAATAAGTGTATTGATTATTATTTATTTTTATTATTTATACAATACATTTAATTATGTTTTTTTTAATTATGAATTATTTTTTCATTTTTAAAAATGCTTGATCTTCGATTTGATAATAATTTAACTTTTTAAAAGATAAACAAATAGTCGCACATAAATTAATGTGTTGTAATCAAATAAATGTATACAAAAATTAATGAAGCTGCAAGAATAAGAATACCTTTTTTTCAATAATAACATTGTTAAAAGATGGTATTACTTTTTCATTCAACAGCTAATGTAATGTATTACTAATACATCACCACAACATAAATAATATAATTATGAAAATAGAGTGTGACACATAAGTCATATGATACATTTAATTTTAGTTTTACGCTTGTATTAGCGTGGACAATTAACCAAGTTAATAGGTTTTTTTTTCATTATACTAGTTATAATTTTTTAAATAAGCATTATTAATCTGAAATATTTTTTTCAAAGCACAAATATAACAATACATATATTTAACTTTTACATTACATATAAATCCAATCAAACTTAGTTAAAAAATGTTTTATTTTAATAATTAAAAATATTTATCGATATTAAAATCGAATAACAAGTGCTAGTAATATTTTTTATGTTTTGAACAACAACGTGATATGGTCAATGAACATCAATAAATGGATTGCTCACAATGATAATAAGGCTAAACAGTTAAAAAGGATGTGAGATGTGTCGCAAACCGTAACATGATTTAGTTTAAAACACAAAGGGGAGTTATTAAGACTTAAATTGAAAGTGTGGGCGGAAATGTAGGTCTATAAATGAACACTTATACATAGAAATGTAAGATAACAGTTTATAAATATGACTGTTTATAGCTATCTTAATTTAATAATTTTTATTGTAATATAAAAAAGCTACACTACAATTTTGTACATAAATACAACTAAAATAAAAATTAATTTAAAAAAATCTTATCAAGTAGTGAAGTCATGTAATTAGTTAACACATTTTATACAAAGTGATTGTTTAACTATAACTCATGCAATATCTATAAAAATATAAAATTTAATATAATTTTTTCATTTCAGAAATTAATAGTATCTGACATTATATCAATTCAAGAAAATAATTTGTTCCTTTCCCCCTCTTTCACTCGAAAAGTTTTTATCGACCAGCCATTTCCTTAGATGTTTAAAATATAGACATTTAAAACACTTAAGTTAATAACACTTTAAGGGGATTAAAGGGGGATAGAAACAAATTTTTTTTTTGAAAATTATAGAACGCAGGATACTATGAACTTTCAATCGAAAAAATTATATTAAATATTATACTTATACAAATATTGCGTGAGTTATTCTGTATAAAGCTATAAATTTACATTAACATTTTTAAAATAAAATAGTTATTATTTAATATTATGCAATTTGTATTTAAACATAAACTTTCAAAAGCTAAATCGATTATAAGCTGATTGATTAAGTTTAGGAACCAACTGTGCCCGCTGGGCTGCTATAATTAGCAGGCAAGGGATTAGGTTAACAATCGAAAAGCAGCCAGGCAAATTATTAAAATGCTGCAGCACCTATATAATAACTTATTTGTTTGTACCTTTCATTATTAATATAATTTGTTAGAAATATAAAATAAAAATATATTTTTATATAAAGGTCCATGTAAATATATTTATAATGCATCCATTGACAGATCTATAATAAAGTTTTTTGGGCGTTAGATAAATTTAAGTTATTTGGCCGGAGTGACTTAAATTTAATAAATAAAAAGAATTTAGTAGGTTTATTACTTTTGAATTTCCAATTTTTCACTTAAATGTTTAAATTTTTCTTAAGAAATTGAATTAATCTTATAATAAAATATCATTTCCTGGTCCGATAAACATAGACAAATTTTCTAGCACAGTGAGACAAATACCCCCTAGTCCGTCAATTCTTCATTCCACTAAATTACATTATCTTCCATATATATTTTGTTTTTTATAAAAATAAAGAAAAGATTCTTCTATAATAAACACAAAATCTAAAATAAAAAACCAGCACAGTGGGGTCGCGGCATAGTGGGGATGTTGCATAGTTGGGTCCAGTATAGATTTAATCTGACAGTGATTAAAATCACTATCATAAGAAACGCTTCGATGCAAATCAGTAGATAGTGTTTAATTCTAAGAAATTGGTGGATAATTACAAAAGCTACATTATCTGCTAGTTTCTTATTAATACCCTGATTAAGATAAAGTATGTCGAATGAAAAAGGGATTATTAAAAAATATTATTTCTCATAAAAAAATTGTGTTGATCCATACACTTTTCAGTAAGTTAAAGCATTATAAAGTTAAAAATGTAACCAACCCAACCCAACATCAACTCCTATTTCCTTAATTATATCCAGATTAGTAATTATTNGAAAAAAATATACCAAATGATAGGTAAAGACATTAAGCATCTATAAAAAAAAAATTATATTGATATGTTCATTTTTGAAAAAGTTACGGTAGTTTTTAGTAAAAAAAATTGAAAAAATTTCAAAATTAAAAATCGAAAATCGAAAATTTTAACACAAAAATGTGGTTTTTTTAACTACGGCAGCCGTTTACATGCAGAAGATAAAGTGTCGGGACAAATTTTTTTTTTCATTTTATAGTACATAAAATAAGCTTTAATTTGATATATGTTTAAAGGACGCAGTATTTCCGGAACATTTTCAAAAATTAAGTTTTTGTAAAAAAGTTGCAATTTTAATTCCCCCCCCATGAGCAGGTTAAATGTTAAATTTTCAAAAAAATTATATCAAATGAAAGGAAAATATCTAAGGTTTTAGTTTAAAAAAAAATTATGTTGATTTGTTGATTTTTGAAAAAGTTATGGAAGTTTTAAGAAAAAAAAGTGATAAAAATGACAAAATTTGTCGATTTTTAAATTTGTAATATTTTTGAATATTTCCCCCATTTGCGGGGAACGAGGGAAAATTTTTAAATTTTTAAGGGTAATGTCTTCAACTAGATACAATTTGTGATCTTTTGACGTATCTTTTGACAGACACAAAAAAAAAAAAAATAAAAAAAAAAATAAACACATCATGGTAAAATTAATACCTTCTCAGCTTCGCATCGAAGCTAAAAAGCAGGACTACAACCATATTTCTGTCTACAACATTGATGTAAATTCTATATGAAATTTTAACGCCGATAATCAATGTGGCTGCAAATTTTTTCCATCAGATCTAGTTTTTGTTTTTTTTTTTACCTTTTTTAGCCATTTTTTCGTGTTTGAAAAAAAAATTAACAGCCTTACGTATTGTTTGACACTTAAGACTATAAAGTAATTATATTGGACGTAAGACAAATATTTCATTATTTAGTTGGTTTTATTTATTTCTAAATTGAGTACCAATCGAAATTTTTAAAATGTATGTACATTTTTTTTTACAATTAGTTGTACAATTGAGTAATCAAGTTTTATTCGAGAAATAGAAAAAATTTGAAGTCGCTTAAGAATCGGCGTTAGAATTCCATTAATAACTCTCCTAAATATTGAAGAACAACAGAAAATTGTTCAGTATTTTTATTCTGTGAACGATTATATTGGTTCATTAATTTTGCTATATTATAAAATACAGTTCAATTATTAATTGAGAATTGAAATAGTTTTAGAAAAATTTATTATTTATACTTAATTACATTTTATTATATTATACTTAGTTTAAAATATTTATATCAAATTTATAATAACCATTATTTTTACACAAGATAATTCATCTCGTTTGGTTACCAATTTTATATATGAATTACTCAAAATAAAAAGTACTATACTGAATCAGGGGAAATGAAGATTAACATGTATTAACTGCATGAAAAGAAATAATCACTAGTAACATTTTAAGTTCATAAGTAAATAGATAATAATTAAATAATTACATATATTAGATAACCATAGGTGCAAATTGAGGATTTTATTTTGAAAGGGTATAAATATATTTTATGATAATGCATATAAAGGAACGACATTAAATAATAATGATGATCAATTTTAGTAATAAAGTAACAAAAGTATACATCTTTGGTTATTTCAAGATGTAAATAAAAATGCAGCAAATGTTCAGAGCATAAACCAATTGGGTAAGTAATTATAGCCCCTTTCCTTGATATACGTATGCATGTTCTGTACTTCTTTGTAAACTAACTTATTACCACGAAACGATTTAGGACTATATTTTTTTGTGTACTTAGCTATTAATCACCATTGATTATTTTTATCTGTTCAAACCTTTAACAGCTGAGATGTTTAAAATTTGGTACATAAATACCACACATGCATTCTCTTCAATCTTTGTAGTTTTCAATGAGTGCACCGTCACTCCCAACTATATACCTAATAATATAGTAACAATATTTGTGCTATATACCATTCTCATACGAAGTCATTTTTTTTGTCAAAAAGTCTTACTCACGAATACTTAACTTCTTATTCCGTTACACTCATGAAATATAAAACGAAATATTCATACGTTTTTTTTGCCATAATCGGTGTAACAATACAATTACAATTGATATGAACGTATGAATTCTATTGATCTATGATAAAATATTGGGTTTAATGTATTATAATAAAATTTGTGTTATATATTGTACAAAGTAATATACAATACAGCTTTACATACAACAATGTACCATATAACACTATTTTTTTTTTGATATTCTGGCATAGTATATTAATGATTAGTTTTCAATTTTAAAAATTCTAAAACTTACTTATAAGAAATCGCATTTATCTGAAAGAAATTTGAAGTAAAAACGTTTGTCCCTAAAATTACCCTCAAAATTTGTTATTTTCAATAAATAAATGAATAAATAAACAATGAATAAGAAATCTTCACTACTATCATTCTTTCAAATAGAGGTCTAATAGTATTTAAATTTTTAAAATATCAAACATGTTACTCTAATATTAATAACTGTAAAATTCTAACGTTTATTGACTCGTCAATATCACGTTAAGTTTTTTACAATAAGTCTAGACAGATGTTAGAATCAATTGACTATAACGTTTATGCTAACAATAAAAATGATGTGTTGTCAATACGATATATCTATCACTTGTACATTTGAATCCCCAGTCGATCTTATCTAAGACATGGAATTGTACTACTTGAAAGCATGTCGAGTATTATTGATTTTCATCTACCATCATAGTAATTGACTTCATTGTAAGATTTTTATTCCGAACTAATACACTCAATAAAAAGAACAAAAGAGAAAATCATATTGCTCTATTTTTGATGTTTAGATAAGAAGAAAAACTTGCTTAAATTAAATTCAATTTTATAAACTAATTCAATTAAAATGTATATAACATAAAAATACATGTATAACGCTTAACAAAATATCAGAGGTATTTTATTTTTATATTATTTATTAACTATCATTTGTATAATTTGTTTGTTAAATATATTCCTTTTCTTTTTTTTGATCTAATTAATATCGGCTACTATGCTATTAGTTACAATAAAATTTATACGACATTAATTTTTGTGTAGTTCTATAATTAATACATTTTACTAAATATAATTTTACATGTTTTTGATCTGGAAAAAGATAGTCAAGTTAATTTTCCACTTTTTTTATGAGTAACTGTAATTTTCATTTTTCGACATATTATTATAAGCTTTGGGATTAAAAAGTATATTTATATAGTATAATATTATATACTTGAACTAGAATTAAGAAATATATACATTAAAAAAATATCCTCGCCAAATATTAGAAAAGGCTACTCATATCCCCACTCCAAACGTCTCATCTTAAAAAAACGCTTTTCAATTGCGTTTCCTTCTCACATCACACCTCAATCTCAAAAATATAATTTTTCTATAAAAACTACTTTTTAAACCAATTTAGACATATGGCATACAGCTTTGGAGATCCACTAAATCATCCAACATTAATAAAATACAAACCTTCCAAAACAAATGCCTCCGCCAAATAACAAAAGCTCCAATTTACGTCTCCAATGATACTCCTCATAATAATCTCTCCATCCCAACAGCCCAAAAAATTGCCAAAACATTCTATAAGCGTTACACTCTAAAACTTTAAACCGTCAAAACCCTCTGATCTCTGATCTATCCGTCCACTCTATCTCTGGTGACTCCAGAAGGCGCTTAAACCGAACGTGGTGCCACGACCTATTGATTGATTAATCCACAATTTCACACGTCAAGAAGTACCAGCACTGGTTGGCCTCTTCTATCAAGCCTACTGCCTCTATATATTATTTTTTTATATTTGCTTAAAATGAACATCACATATGCTTATTGTAATTAGTAAATCATTACTAATAATAATATAGAATAATATAGAACAATATTGTAATTTGTAAATTTATTACAGATTGTACGATTTTAAACGAAAAAACAACCCTCTAGACAAAAAAATTACTGGCGTTATTTTGGATAGATAAAATCATGACCTCAGAAACTAGATCAAAATATTTTCCGATGTGCGCAATATACATGCATTTCGATATTTATTGTTAAAATTTTATGATTTTTATTTGTTATGAAAATTATCTTAAACTGTCGAGCGTAACACTAATTCAATAATTGATATACATTGAAATGATAGTAGATAAATAAATTGGTTAGAACAAGTTTGAAAAATACGTATAGTTAAGTACTGATGATCATTATATATAAATCATTTCATATTATGAACTTAGAGATGGAATACATACTTAAACTGAATTGAATTAATACCACAATGATGTAAAGAAGTACATTATTTATTATGTTTTCAATGAATGCAGTCGTGCTCAATGAATGCACCTTTTGTGTCATATTTCAATAAACTTTTAAGTTCGTGTGTATTTTACAGTTTACCTATTCTACTGGCAATCAATCTTTACTTTATAATATTAACCTAGTAAAATATTTAGGTATCGTTTTAAATATAAAATATAGTATAATATATTTGTGTAAATGACTGGACACTAAAAAAACTTTTAACCATCTAAAGCCTAATTTCCCATTAATTAATCAGAAAAAAACTTTATGTTTATGAATTCATGGATTTTAATAATTATTTTCATATTTAAAATATTCATCAGATATAGTTAGTTCACCATTATTGTAAAACTTAAGACCATCATAAAATAATTTTAAAAAATTTCAACTTACCTTCTCATCATATTAATATAAAATCATGTAACATTAAGAAATTAAAATTACTGGATATTTATTTTCTAAAAAGTATATATTTACTATCATACAAATGTACATTCCAAAATTGGACTGTTTAAGTTAAATAAACTTAGCTATTATTTTATACAATGTTTTTTCTTATTTTATTGTTCAAGTTATGTCAAACTTACCTTTAACACCATCACAAAAAAAAAACTTTTTAAAATATTGGATTTCATAACTTAGACTCAATTGATAGAAATAAAACAATATAACTTGATTTTTTTGCAATGTTTTGTAATTATTTACTTATACTATTTTCCATGCACGATATCGTATTGAATTTTACGTTTGAAGAAGTGAGAGACATAGTCACAGTACCACAACCCAATCGGTCTCCTGGCGCACTACTGTACCGGAAAACTATAATCTCATCTGGAGTAAATCGCAGGACACACTATCCCCACTGAGTTTCCATCTAATAGTTAGTATTGAGCCTACGAAGTCAATCATTTATAGACCGCCATGACTTCCACCAATAACCAGAACATATTTAATGCTAAATTAACTGTGTATATAATTGTACTAATATTATAATATTAAAAATAGAAATAGTTGTATATTACAAACATAGCTTGTACTTATTATTAATTATACAGGACACTTGAATTTTTTATTAAAGTCCTACCAAGACTAAAACAAATAATTGGAGTAAGTGTTAATTAAATTACGTAGATAGTTAGTTTATCAAATTATTACTATTCCTTTTGGCAATTGAGATGACAAAATATTTTTTTGCTTTCAATGAACGAAAATAAATGCTAAAAAATTAAGAAATTGTCATTATAATGTCTAGAATGAGGTAGGTTCGGAAAAGAACAAATGCACTTTCTCAAATTCGACCTTGTCCTATATTTAAGTAACTATATACTGACCCATATTAATAAGTATTAAATTCGTGAAGTTCTAGTATATTTAAAAAACATTTTTGTGGATATCTTTACTTGTACTGATAACAAAAAACTGAATAAAACTGCATAAATTACTGAAAATTACTTATGTAATATCATATTTTCCATATAATTTAATACTAAAAAATATACTCTGGATAAAATTAACACTTGCATATGAATATCGTAGTGCAACCTGATAAGTTAATTCTAAGTTATTTTTCAAGAAAAGCAATTTACTAAAAAAATTTAATTTATAGCAATAATAAAAAGTTTTTATAGATTTGATATCTCCGTAAATAATATGAATATAAAACTTGCTTTACACCAGAGTATGCACAAAAATCATATTTACTAAAAATTTACAAAAAAACATATTTCCTGAAAAAATCAACATTTTTGTTGTACTAAACCTTTTATATATTTATAATTTTATTATAAATTATATATTTTATTATATATTAATTATTATATACTAATTATTATATATTAATAATTTTAACATTAAAATAATATTTATTAATAATATTATTATTAAGTCACTTTTATTAAAAAAATTCATTAATTTATAGAATATTTATTATGTATACCAAAACGATATATTTTTAAATAAAATATTAAACAAAAATGATACATTAAAATATTTTTAAAAGATAAAGGAAGGTAAATAAAAAATTATATTCAACCCTGTTAAAATGTGATTAATAATAGTATAATACTTATTAAAAATAATTTCAATGTAAATAAATTATTTATTATTGATATTTTCTCCAGTGATAACTGGCCCACTTTTATAAAATGACTACTTAAAATTATAGTCACGATACATTTAAATCCTATTGTTTAATGCTCTGCAAATTCGAAACAATGTACATTTATAAGTTAATATGTATAAGTGAATTGTATTGTACGGTCTGCAAATTAACGTAAATGTGTGTCAATTCTCAAATACAATTCTATCATTTTCGAATAAAAAATAAGCGAATCTACATTCAGAAAAAATGAAAAAAATAACATATGAAAATACAATCCGTTTATTACACAAGACAACAAATAATGAACATTTTTTGTTGTCTACAATATTTAGATGAATTCTAGAAGGAATTTCAACGCTGATTTTAAATCTGACTTCAAATATTTTCATTAAATCTAAAATTTGAGAAAATGACTAATTAATAGTTATGCATTAATTAAACATTTAAAACATTATGAAAACCAAAAAAAAATTTTTTTTAACTCTCCTAATGTAGTTTGATTAGAAAGTCTTTTGTTAATTTGGGACTTATTAATCAAGTTTAATCGTTTTTAAAGATCATTAAATTTGAGTTTGTAGTACATTTATAAGAAAAGAAAAATCTGAACTTTTGACGATAACTATTTATCGGTTAAACTCATAAATATGAAGTTACTACCAATAAATAGATAATTTTATAAAAAAATAAAAAATGTAATTTTTTTTTTATACAAGAAAAAAACTGACAAAAGCGCAATCATGAAATAAAACAGCAAAGTGGGATCGCAGTAAAATTTTGATAATTATATATGATATTGGACAGTGATTAGCATCATTATTATTTATAATTTTTAGTTTCTTATTTTTTTTTTTTTGTGTCTGTTACCACTTTTTCTCATCTCTCACCGAACCGATTTCTTTCAACGATACGTCAAAAGATCACAAATCGTACCTAGTCGAAGATATCAAATTACCAATAGGTATATTCGCAACTTTTTAATCTATATTCAAGTTGCATCTTCAGAAATTTCAGATAGTGTGACATCTTCGTTAAAACGAGGATTAATTAACATGAGTTACACAATTATAAAATATATAAAAGAATTCATTTCTCTCAATTTATTAATTTATAATCAAACATTTCTGCAAAATAACTTAAATAGGTTTATTAGAGTCTTAAACAATTATGCAATAAAAAAATCCAGCACAGGGGGATTGCGGCACAGTGGTAACGTGGCATAGTTGGATCAAGTATAATGATATCTGACAGTGATCAAAATCACTATCATAAAAAACGCATCGATGCAGATCTGTAAACAGTTTTAAAATTGGTGGATTATTCCAAGAGCAATATGATTTCCTAATTCCTTATTTATATCCTGATTACAAGTTTTATGATTTATAAGTGTAATATATAAATTAATAAATATATATATAATATATAAATTATTTTTGGTATTTTTTATTGTCATATATTTCTTGAATTACCAGTTATTAATATCTTTTTTAATTCATACCTAATACTTTATAAAGATATCAACTTTATTTTTTAAATGACAACATTTATGTTTAAATACCTTATAATATTTACTGTGTAATTTAGTATAAAAACGAATTTTATACTCCTATTAATTTGGAGATATTTAATTTAAAAAAGTTTTTTTGAAGTAGCCATTTTTTAGAGTAGCGTAATTTTGAAATATTTGTCTGAATTTCTAAAATTAAAGGGTATTTTTCCAATATATGGTGATTCTAAGTTCCACATGATAAAAATCGTGTTCTGTTGACGTATTGGTCTTTACAATTGGTGAGAGTTAAAAAAATGAATGACAGATACAAACCATATAGTAAAATATTTTAATATGAATAAGAAATGTTTTCTCACAAGGGAGACTAAAGTGATGGGGTCCTTATTGTTTATTGAAGTTATTCAATTTAAATGAAATAAAAATCAAACGACCTTAAATTTTTTTTACCTCAAAAAAGAATTAAGAAAAATGTAAAAAGAAAGTTATTTTAACGGGCGGGGTTCAGACTTTATATCCCGAGCGTATAAAATTTACCGTTAATTTCATGAATATTAACTAAAAATGACAATTTAAACTAGTTCTAAAATTGAAAGCAGCTTTTTTTAACTTTGAGAGGGCAAAATAAGTATAAATTTATAATTTATATAAGTTAGATTCATGTAAATTTTATATTAGTGGACTCATAACTATGGAAAACCCTTGTAAGCAATTTTAAAATAAACAAAAAAGTATAAAATAAAATTTGAACACAAAAATAGCATGTTTTTTAACATTTGCACAAAGAGAATATGTCATTAGGACAATTTTTATTCAAATTCATAGTACATAACATAAGATTTAATTTAACATATCTTTAAAAGGACGCAGTATTTCCGGAACATTCTCAAAAGTTAAAAAAGTTGAGTTTTGTAAAAAATTTGCTATTTTGAAATCAGCTTACCTGTGCGCAGGTAAAGGGTCAGTTTTCAAAAAAATTATATCAAATAAAAGGGAAATACCTAAGATTTTAATATTAAAAAAAAAACAATTTGATTTGTTCATTTTTCAATAAATTATGGCAATTTTTAGAAAAAAAATGTCGAAATTTACCGATTTTAAAAATTGTCATTTTTGGGGACATTTCCACCATTTACGGGTAACGAGGAAAAATTTTTCAATTTTTGAGGGTAATGTCTTTAACTAATATGATCTGTGATCTTATAACGTATCGTTGATAAAAATCGGTCCAGTGAGAGCTGAGAAAAAGTAGTGACAGACACAAAATAAAATAAATAAATAAACACATCATGGTATGATAATATCTTCACAGCTTCGCATCGAAGCTAAAAAACATACAAGCATTATTATTCATCTTATTAAATAAAAGAACATTATACTATAATTTTTTAATAAAAGTTAATATGCAGCACTGTCCAACGGAATTTCTTGTAATTAATAAAACGGCAATAAAGCGTAACGCTATTGTCACTATTACGGAAGTTATTACCATTTCAAAATATAAACTTTAGGTAAGGCATATACATGTATTTATATACATTAATAAACACGTCTATCTGATGTTTTTTTCTAGATAATAGTAATAGTTTATTTTATCTAAATTCTATTTAGTAGCTGTGGATTGAGTATATTTTTACTTTTATTTATTTTGTTTTTTAGTAAGTTCAATTAAATAACTAATAATGTCAAAACTAGTAGTCCCCGGTTAGCAATGCTGGTTTAAAATTTGATGTCTCCTTCGCTGATATAATGAAGGCCTTAAAATCACAAGACTCTAAACTAATCAGATCTAAACTAATTTATTAATTTAAAAGTTTATTACACTATATAATAAGTACATATTATTTGTTGAGCTTATAATCCTGGAGGGATTGCTAAATACACCTTTGCCTTAAAATTTTTAATAATTAAGGACATAAGCATTTCAGTGGTTTTTGATTTTAAGTTTCAATAATTAGACTAGTGTGCAAAATTGGAAACTATTGTTCTTTATAATTAATATTATCTCACCGATTAGTTTTATGGGAAAAATTTATTTGACATACATCTCTAACTCTAGTCGATTACCTATCAATTATTCTAAAGCTATATTTATAAATATAATACATATAACATAATACATTTTAGCTATATAATTATTTTTTTATTAAACTGACAAAATAACTTTTCATATACAATTATAACGTGGAAATACATTACTTAAGGTTACATTTTTTGGTTGGTATTGAATTTAAACACGCTATGCAATCTGATACAAAATTGATACAATTCCCTGCATCATTTAACTACTAATTGTCTATTTAATCACTTGATTTGAATATTGAATTTTTAGTATTCGTATTGTGGCATATTTTCATATGGATAACTATAACTTGGCTTAAATGGTCTCCATCCAAAATAATCGGATGACGGATCAAATGCTAAATCGTGATTGTTTACCATCAAAACTTTTGGGATACCGATAGTATCGATATCGAAGTCGTCATTAGCATGTCCAACTGTTTTTCTTACTATTCTTAGACATTGTACCAAACTTACTGGACAACACCACATGTAAATTAATAGTTCTGCAAAAATATTTAAAAAATAGAATCATCATAAAACATTATTCTTTTGAGTATTTAATACTATTATAATTTTATCAACCCCAAGATTTTAACCAAATATGCCCCCTTGACTTATTTACCAATCAACCCACTCTAATTTACGCTAACAAACATTATAAAACAAACATTAGATAAAAAAAAGGTTGACCAAGCTAAGTGCATACCCAATGCTTTTTCCGAGTTTTAGGTCATTTATATGTAGTTGATCAAATTAAAACCGTTTGTTTTTAATCCATTTAGTGTAAAAATATTATTTTATTTATTAATAAACTTATTTTAAACTTGATAATACTATAGAAATTTATTTTGAATTATTTAATTAGAATGAGAATAATTACTTAATATAATACTCACGCAAAAAAACTACTCCAATCACTGAAACTAAAATGAGAACCAAAAAATTTAATACGTTCATTTTTATTAGTATCATTGACGTTGCAACAATATACAAAATGAATGCTAACCGTATAAACTCTAATATGATGTATGGTAAAATAAACATAATAGTATTCTAAAAAAAGATAAAATGTTTGTTACTCTTAACTACAATCGTTATTATTTTTTATTAATACCTTATAAGCTCCGTATATTAAAATAAAACAGCTAATGGTGTATACCAAATTATATATCATCACTCCTAGAATATAAAATTTTGGATCTGAAAATTTCATGTTTGGTTAGTTTTATATTATACTCAGTAAATAGTACATAGGTGTAAATTTGAAATACTTAGAAATAGCTAAATAAATTTTTCTACCACCCTAAAAAACTAATTTTACATAAAAATAAAGGTAATTTTTTCTTTGAGGATGGAAAGTTATTGCAAGCTTAGGAAGCTTAGTCTCTTAACCTCCTTTAAATTTACGTCTATTTGATTAAATAAAAATTTAATTGAAATATAAAAATATTTTACATTAAGATCTTAAAAAATCTTACTACTATTTAACTTAGACTTCTTATTATCCAACTATCTATATATATAGATAGTTGGATGATAAGAAATGTACACATTTCTTTATAATGTATCAATTTGTTAGAGAAACAACATAATTATAATAGATACCACACTTTCTAGATGAGTAGACAAGAATTTGATTTTAGTTAAATATTTATAAGACATTTGATATGAAACTTCAAGTATTATCTAGTGTTGCGCAATTTTTTTTTTAGTAATTATATTAAATTACAAATTTCTTAATAGATTAGGAATTAAACTGTTTAAAAATGTTTAATCAAAACTTACAGATTACCAAAATTGTTATATCTGAATGTGTTTCACTCGTTTACGGAGAATGAGGAAAATTTTTTCCCTAGTTCATTTATGATTTTTTATTATAATAGAACGGAATGCGCAACGAGTTAGAATTATTATTTGTATGTTATGGTAAAAATGTAGTCTATAATAGTAGTCTATAACTAAGGCAAGAAAACTTCTAGATTTTTGCCAAGTAAATTTAAATATTATACAATGTATTATTTTTGACTGAAAAAGAATTTAAGAACTATTGCTCCCATTTATGAACGAACAATAATAGTGATAAAAAAAATTAAATGACTAGTAGAAAATAGATAGAGATCAAAAAAAAAAAAAAAATAGTTTAATCACTATTTACATAGTTATAATACTGGTTTTGATTGAGTTTGGATCTATCAACTATTCCTATGCCCAATCAAACTTCCTTAAAATTCTAGGCCTTATCTACAATGAAGAAGTCTGGCTACAGGGGCTTAAGTACTTATTTCATGATTATTATCATGAGTAGAGTCCGGATTTGTATGTATTTGCATATTTGTAATGAGTGTATGCATTTCGACGGGAGTAAGAAATGTGGACAATTTATGTAACAGATAATGCACAGAAAAAGTTTATTTTGCATATAAATGCATATTTTAGAGATGACTGCATATTTTGTATAAAATTTTATTGAGCCACTTATTTAATTTTTATTTCACCGTAGAAATGATTAGTTCATTACGATTTTTGGGGAAATAAATATTATTTACCGTATTTATATTTTTAGACAGTTCATGTTAAAATTATATCTCGTTTATCACAACAATGCTAATTGGTTTTATTTTTAGTGTTATATTTTGTATACACGCCGCGTCATTGTTGTTGGACATAGTCCCCAGTCAATAGTGCACTAGTGTCCATACATCGTTTTGTGATCCGCGTTCCGTAAATTTATAAATTACATTTTATACTTCAATACGATTAGATTTTAAAATGCCGAAAAGTCGTAGCTCTATACTTATTTTATTAAATACATGGATTGCTCTTAATAATAAAACAGACCAAATCGTTTTTACCACGGACGGATCTGTAGTGTCAATTGTGTGACAAAAAAATCGTGTGCTCAAAAATTTCAATTACAACAACACGTTGATATCGCTTATCGTAATAGTGGTTTAAAATTTAGAGCAAATGAAAACAAAAGACAATTATTTGTATTGGATGCAAAATCGAAATCTGATAACGTTTTTAATGAGGATCTTTGTTCAGCTTTGGTAGTATCTAAGATACCTTGGAATAAACTTCAAATACCTGAATTCAAGAATTTTTTGTAGAAGTATACAGATAAGCATATTCCTGACCAGAGTACATTAAGAAAAAATTATCTTGGTCCATGTTATGATAATGTTATTATTGCAATAAGAGAAGTTATTGGCAACTCAGATATTTGGATCGCTGTTGACGAAACAACTGATGCAAACGGCCGCTACAAAGCAAATTTAATAATTGGCGTTTTAAAACATGATACGCCAAGTCAACCCTATCTTTTAGCATCTAAAAAACTGCCTAAAACTAATAACTCTACAGTATCTCGGTTCATTAATGACATTTTAAAAATATTATGGCCTGTAGGGGGAAACGATGAAAACCTCCGGTTGTTTGTATCAGATGCAGCACCATATATGATAAAAACGGGAAATACAATAAAATTATTTTACCCAAGTATTATACACGTTATATGTGTAGCAAACATGTTAAATAGGGTGGCAGAACAATTTAGGGAATTATTCCCAAATGTAAATAAAATAATAAACAATTTGAAAAAATCTTTTTTAAAGTCCCCTTATCGTATTCAACTTTATAAAGAAATACTTCCCGGTTTGCCATTGCCACCTGAACCAGTTATTACAAGATGGAGTACGTGGATAGAAACAGTTATATTTAATGCAAATAACTATGAAGGTATTTAATATATAGAAATATATTATAGAAATACTAGACAATGAATCGTCAACAAGTGTAGAGAGTTGTAAGAAAATGTTCAATTTGCCAACAATAAAAAATGATTTAGCATTTATAGAAATTAACTTTTCTAGAATTATTCGGGCAATTACAAATTTAGAAGATACTAAATTAACTTTATTATCACTAGAGATTATAAAAAATATTATTTCAGAACTATCAAATATACAGAGTGACAAAGATTCTACTATAAAAACTAAAACATCTCAATTATATCAAAAAAATAAAGGGTTTCAAGTAATGGAACAAATTGGACTAATTATATCAGGTAACAATAAAATACAACTTCCAGAAATCTTCAACCCTAGTTCTGTGGTCAATATGAAGTATGCACCACTGACATCAGTATATGTGGAAAGATCATTTAGTCTTTATAAACATATACTATGTGATAGAAGAACAAGTGTGACACCTAAGCACATGGAAAAATATATTATTGTCAATTCTTTTTATAAAAATAAAAATCATACATTGTAACAAAATATTTTTTATTAATTTTTTTTTTTTTATATACAATTTTTTTATTTTGTATTTTTATCATAAATATTTACCAAAGAAATGGTCAAAGAGGATTTAATACATATTTATTTTTTATTATTCTGAATTAAAGTATTTGTTTTATTCATTGAATATATTTTTAAATATTGACTGTTCTTTAATTAACGTTTTAAGTTGATGATGTAATTAAAAAATTAGGTTTATCTAATTTAGTCGAATTATTAATAGAAGAAATTTAAAAAAAAATGAAATCCATATATTTTGGGTAATAGCATATATTTGCATATTATTAAAAAAATAAAAGCATATCTAATACATACTTTGAAATTTTTTTATACATAAATGCATACTATTTTAGGCTTTTTGAGTGCATACAAATCCGGACTCTAATCATTAGTTACACAGATAAATCAATTATAAAAATAAAAAAAAATAATTTGTTATTTAATACAGTATAAAGCACCCAATTACTTTAAGTTCAATAGCTCAACATAAATTACCTTTTTTAATAAGTGAGACTCTAAAAAACCTATACCTCATGTCAACAACATCACTCAAGATGAAGCAATCTAAGAGACAGAAGAAATTACAAATGAGACGTTTCAAAAACTATTGATCGATGCACTAAACTGTAACAAGCTTAAAATATAAAAAAATACTTTCATAAATGCTACTTGTCAATCAATATCATGCGTGAAGAAGTAATTATCATTCAAGCAAGAATTAGAAACACCTCTATGACTCATTCATGCCTTATTCAAAAAAGTGATAAACCAGAAAAAGCAAAAAAAATGGAAAGATAATATGTCAGTTCTTTACTAATCTAGGTTCATCTAATTAGTTGTCAATCAAATTTATTGCCTATATATTCACATAAAATTATAAAAATAATTATCAAAATTCATTTATTTTAAAAATATATAATGCATTAATAACCGTTATAATAGTTGAAGTCTTATAATAAAAAAAAAATTAATTAATTGTTTTATAAGTAAAAATAATATTTTATGAATTTTATATACATATCTGTGTATACGGATATTTAACTTGTCATAGTGTTCATCTACAGAGGGATAGTTATAGGTCCAAGGTTGGGGCTATACTGCCGACTTAACTATTCGTTTTGTTTTCATCGTTATTGTCTTTTTTTTTTTAACACTTTCATATATGTTTTTGTACAACTATTTAATAATTTTTTCTAAATTTTTCAATTTTATTTAAAATTGGATTTCCGGAACACTTTCAAAAGTCAAGTTAAAAAAGGAAGATAGTAGAAAATGCCTAAGATAAGTATAAAAAAAAAATTGTATAGTTATTCTTATAAATTTACCTATTTATTACAAATATTTTACCAATGTTTATAAATTTCTACGCCAGTCAATTAACTGTAAGTTACAACATGTTTTGTGTTAATTTCAATTTTAAATATTTTTCAGTAAAAATATATTTTTCTAAAAAATGTGTTTTTTTGTTGTTTTGACGATAAAAATATACTTGTTATCTCACCTTTTTCAATTGACTTCAATATTTCTACAGAATAAGCCATATTATTATTGTGAAGCAATTTATGTAATCCATTTGATATTACGTCTGTCATACCTAGGCTAAAAAAACATACTCCCTCTGACAAAAGTGATTGAAACTGAAAATGAATACATAACACAATTATTAAACTGGTAGTACAAATAACATAATTTCTTAAAAATTAAACATGGTACTACACTAGATTACTTTAAAAAAATGTACTCACAATTGATATAATTCCAACTATAACTGTTCCAAGACGTAAAGGAAACCATGTGCAAAAAGTATACATTAAAGGCATTGCGTTTCATTAACATGAGGTAGCACCGTAACGACTCCATTTGTACTGTACAAAATATAAAAGTATGAATATATTGAAATTATTTCATGTAATATTGTATGAATACTATAGCATTATTTTTTTGTATTTGTATATTGTTTTAGTATTGATTAGATAATTATATGACAAATTGAATACGAGCAGATTTCTATAATAAGATAGGTTTGACCTTTATCCATAGAGACCACAAATTACCAATTGTTTTGATAGTTACCAATGCATAATTCGTTAGTTAAATTTTAGTTGTATATAGAATTTATTATATGGAAAACAATCATAATATTACTTGTAAAGGAATAATAACAGTCCTGTTGACGCAATTTTATGCACAAGATATACAGAATCGAACAGATCTAACTGACAACTTTTTTAGCATTTAATCTACTTACATGTTTCATTTTTTTTTATAGAATTAGACTACATTCTAAACTTGTTATTAATTTTTTCTAATGCCGTAAAAACAATTTAAAAAAAAATTTTTTATGTATAAAATATTATATTTATGTTTTAAACTCATTAAAAAATATAAATATCACAATATTTGTATAAATTATACTTTGATTTAAATAAAAAAATATAGGTAATATTTTTATTTAACAGTCAAACACTACGAAAATATTTCAGTTATTGTGTATTATTAAATTTTTCGGAAATAGATTATCAAAAAAAATAAAACAAAACAAAGATTATAATTATATTTGAAATAACCACAAGCATTGGCTAAACTACCCTGCTGCATAGAGAAATTCTGTAAGGTTCAATTTTAGCCGGACTAAGCTACAGTTCAGTCGGATCCGGTATTATAATTAAAATAAAAAACTAGCCTGGTCCTAGTTGGTCTGAAGTAAAAACTATTATTGGTCTTTTTTTTTACGATCCTTAATAAAATTCATTGGTACGGTCCCAGCCGACTTCAAATTAAGAAAATGTACCACTTTTTAAACCAGAGTAATATTATATGTTTAATTATGGATTATATATGATTATATACAGTGTTCAGTAAGTCAGAAAACGGGTTTCTATTATTCTCATTGTTTGTAACAACTGACCTGTTTTCTTACTTACTGAACACTCTATATATGAAATTAAAGTAAATTTTTGCTTTGAGTAAAATTTGTGAAAAAATACAAAATCATAATTTTTATCGTAATAGGTTCAATTGATTTCTGATAGTTAACGTTCTTAAAATAGTACTTATCTAAATAATGATTTTTTTTTTTTATAAATTTAAAAAATAACAAAAATTTTATTGGCGAAGTTTGTTGGTCAAGACGACGTTCTGTTAGGCTATGATAGTGTTTCAAAATCAAAGAAACCTGAAAAAAATTAATAATAACAAAAATTTAGTCTTTAGAAAAAAAAGTTTGACATTATGTTTTTAAGGCTCCTGTATCTAAATTTTATAGTTAGTTTTTCAATATACTCCCACAAAAGGGTTAAGGTCAAATTTTGATTTTAGGTAATTTTGCGAGTAACATATCAACTGATATATTTTTGAAGTCACTGCATTCAAATTTGTTATTAGTTTTTAAATATTTTATACAGTAAGGAAATTGGTTAACTCAAGTTTTAATTAAAGTCGATGTTCTGTGCGAAATATCACTTAATATATTTTTGAAGTGATTAAATTCAAATGTAATATTAGTTTTTTTTATTTTTTCATTTGTGGAGGAAGTTGAGGTATTAAAATTTGATTCCCCTTCACATTGGGACGCTTTTAAAAATATTAAGTATTAATATTTATTTGTTTAATACATGTACATTGTATAAAAACCATATTATTTGACAGGATTTTTACATCCGTTGTCAACCTGACGCAACTTCACTGTAGCTGAGGGAACCAGTAATGGGGCAAAGTGTGTGTCATTATTAAAGTTCCTGTACGGTCGGGATCTAACAGTAAACAGCATAGCTGAACATCAGCGCTAAGGCAGTGATTAAAAGATCCACTGCACGACATCACGTCCCATCCAAGATGAACTCTCATTACTAAACACTTTAGTGTGCCTATCATATTTTCGAAAAGATATACGAGGAAACAGACTACACCATGACAATAAATCTTTTAGAGAAGCTACTAATTGTGATATATTCAAAAAGATACTGACAAACTCAGATATAACCATTATCATGGCTAAACAATAATAAAAACAATCTTTGATTAAAGATTTGGATAAATTATTAATTATTTTAACTAATATAAAATTTTATATAAAAAAACTTTTAAGTTTTTACTACACATTAAAATACATTTCTTATGAATGGTAATGCTTTTTCATCGCATATTTTAAATAGATTACATACTCAAAAAATGTTTTTATTTGTTCTTGTGATGTGTTTAAGATAATAATGAAAAAAATTTATATTTGACTTTATTGTACGTAAGGTGATAGAAAAATTGGTAGAAGTATACGTTTTTTAACCTATCTATACACTATAAATAATACTCCAAGAAAAATTTGCAAATATTTGTAACTAAAAACTTTATAAAAATATTCTAAATGTCATTCCTGTAAGCTGAAATTATTTTCACGGATAAAATAGGAAGCTGTAAGAACAGTTATAGAATAAATGTTAAAGGAAGAAGAGGTAGAGGAAGACTAAAAAAGAGATGGAGAGATATTATTAAATGCGATATGAGGACGGCTGATGTGAGCGTAGATGATGTGGGAGATCGTATTAAGTGGATGTTTAGGATAATGGTGGCCGACCCCGAGTTAGGATTAAGACAAGGAAAAAGAAAAAGAAAAATTTAAAACAAATAAAGATTAGAATACGTAATCAAAAAGCCACAAAAAATACTAATAAATCTATTTGTATGTATATGGATGTATGTGTTTAGCCCTGATGATGATAACATTGTTTATGAAATTCGTGAAGGTCATTCATAAGTATTATTAATTACTTTGATAACATAAAACAATTAAATCTCATTGATTATTATATAAAAAAAAATGGATGGTGTGTTTTACTTTAAAAAATATTTTTAGGTAAAATAAAATATATTTAGTTTTCAAAAGTTACAAAAAGTTAAAAATAGCGTCCCATAAGAAATGTATGGCCATCACATGGTCGCTGTGAAAATAAAATCCGTAATGTCAAGTGTTTACTTAATATTGCCTGTAAATCAACTACGAGAAATTTGAAAAAACAATTTTGCTACCAAATCATAATGACGTTTCTTCAGATTTATCAATATGATCTATTTATACAACCCTAATAATGTTACCATGGAACAGAAAAAAAACTATTCTCTGGTGCTATTACGAAGTAATTATAAGATATTATATGTGGCACTTATGATTTTTTAAATGAATATTTACATAAATAAATGCTGAATCCTGTATCAAACCACATGGTTACAAAATTCTTATTTAAAATTAACTTCTTCCAAAACTATATAATATTAATGAATCACATGTGACTAATATTATTTTAAATTAAAAATATATTTATAATATTAATTTAACACTAAAAAGTGTAATACATTTTTCATTCAGAAGAAAAAAAAATTACTAAAAAGTCACGCATACGTAATACAGAAATACCGGATATTGTATCAACATTATCAACGCTAAACACATATTGTGGCATAAAAATTTTTGAGGCTTTTGAGTTAAATATTTTTTAATATCTAAATTAATATTTTAAATATATTTTTAATTATTTCCAAAACAATTCGAAAAGTTTGAAATTGACATTGTTAATATCAATCCACAGTGTATTTTAATATATAAATTTTTGTACCAATATGTATTATCTATATACTAATCATTTCTCTACTAAAATCGTTTCTAACATCATATCATAACTTTTTTTAATAATAATTTTATCAACAGAATGAATATGTTCCTAATGTGTCCCTTAATCTTGTGGGAACGTAATGTAATTTGTACTACTACTCTAGATTATTATATTATCTATTTACAAACATTTTTAATCTGTACGTTTTAATTTTTATCCAGTACAAACTTTTAAGAAAATATTAACTGAATAATTTGATCATATCATGTAATTGAATTTCATGATCTATAAGTCAATTACGTAGCAATAATTATATTGTTAATCTAATAAATACATTTTTATAATATGATAAAAATGTAAGAATAAAAAGAACTTACTTTGACTAAGCTTTTATACCATACTTATTTAAGGTAATATTCTCTTATTTTTAATTTCAATTAAGTATGCTACTCTTGTGAAATCATATTATTTAATTTTATACCTTATAAAAGATATATGTCAGTAATTCAATTTTTAATACTTACAATTTACTTCTTATTGTATTAATTATATTTACTTTAACTATAGTATTCTAGAATAAATATTCAGTACCTATTTATGGACTAAGAAGAAAATGTTGATACTATCAAGCCCCTGTCACTGTAATAACTTGTGCCATTTAACAGTTCTATAACACAATTTTTTCTTGATAAGCTAGAACTCAAAGTTTCTCCATTATTTATATGCTAAAAGATCAATATATAATTCTAATTTTAAATTAAAATAAGAATATAAATTTCTTTTATGTTAAATTATGTTATAAATACTGCAAAATAAAATTTATACACAAATGAACTTATAAGCCCTGATTTTACTTAATGTTATTTTTTTCTTAACCAAACTCCCTAGCATTCTCTTTTATAATATTTATGTTTAGTTTATCAAACAATATTTAAAACAGTTATACATTTTTCTTAGTTGAAAAGTCTCATAACTACATCAAAAATGGAGGTTATTGGTGATTATGAATATAGTAGTGCTAATCGATTAGGATTAGGAGCTTTTGCAATTGTTTTTAAAGGCAGATCTAAAAAAGTAATTATTATTTTTTAGTTTTTTTCATATTTAATTAACAATTTTTTAAATAATTTTTTTTTAGAAACCTGAAATAGATGTTGCTGTTAAAACAATTATGAAAAAAAATATACCAAAAACACAAAGTCTTCTCAAAAAAGAAATTGATATTCTGAGGGTATATTATATTTTTTTTTACATAACATGAACAAGACTTAAAAAAATTATTCTGTTACTATGTTTTAACATAATATTTTTAACTTAACAGAAATTGACAGTACTTCAACATGACAATGTTGTTCATCTTCTAGAATGTTTGGTATGTATTATGTTTTACAACAGTTTTTATAATTTAAAACACCATTCTGTAGCTATTTTTTTTTTTTTTAATTAATTGTTTGAATTTTTCATTTTTCAGGATACTGATGATGCATTTCATTTAGTAATGGAGGTAAGCGTCTAGGAAAAAATTCTTCTTAAATAATATTTATATTAAGCCTTATTTTTACTTGTTTAGTACTGCAATGGTGGAGATTTACAAGATTATTTGAATGGTAAATATACTTATCAATTACTGAACAAGTTTTTTTAATTTATTATCTTCCATTTTGTATCTGTTTCTACTTAATCACAAAAAAAATATATCATTGTCACAACTAAAACATTATCTTCAAATGTTGTTACATGGAAGCTTTCAAATTTAACTATTTATAAAATCACGAAAAAGGTTTTATGAATACCATATTGTCGATATTTTGCAAAATAGAAGTTAAGTTTTTGCTTTATTATTATCCTAATATCTTTATCATTGAGTAACAATTCAAAATATTTTATTCTCACACCTATATGTATCAAAAATAACTCAATGAAAAAAAAGTAATCTTATTCTTTGGTGATATAGGACAATTTATTCATCACCAAACTTTCTTCTTTTAACTTACGTAGATTATTTATTAAGAATTTAACTCTCTTTTTCTTGTAAACTATAAACAATTTTAAAACTTTAAAGGTAAATATTGTTTGTTTCAAAAAATCTATTCTTAAAAGTAGTTTATTAAATTTTTTTTTTTTTTTTCAGGGTTAAAAAATCTAAACATTAATTTTTTATGAAAATCCCTACTTTTAGTTTGATAGTATAATGAAAAATGTTTTGACAATTTTTTTATATTCTGTATCTACATATCTATTTTTTACAAGACCTAAAATTTTTAGGTCATGTAAAATTGGATATTTAAATTAATAATTCTTTTTCTATATTCTTTTACTTCTGAATAAAAAAAAAAAATCCTACAGAGTTGTTAAAATACATTTTTAAAATTGAAAACGGTTTTAAATGTCCCATGAAACCAAAGTAAATAAAAATTTTTGGTGTTATAAACTCTTTTATAGCTTACACAACCCCCATTTTGAATATTGCTAGTTTTTGATATTAAGTTATTAATGATTAATAACTTAATATTAAAAATAGTATATCATGTTATATTTAGTTAAATATTTTTTTTTTTTTAATTACTGAATAGTTTATAATTTCATGAAATAATATTTTTTAGTTAAAGGTTGCCTAAGTGAAGACACTATTCAAATATTTTTGAGGCAGTTAGGTATGTATTTTTCAAAGTTTTATTTGCAATAAAAAATTTTTTTTTAACTATTACTTCATTTGACGATAAAATACTTTAATATTACATTTTTGTTACTTCAGTATTATATTGTTTTAGAGAATAATTAATTAGAGTATATTAATGAAATAAATAATTAACTTATTTAGATTTAATATAATCTGAAATGTTTAATGTTGTTGATTGTATTTTTATAATATATAAATGAATTATAGCTGGTGCTATGTATGAATTTAATAAACAAGGAATCCTTCATAGAGATTTAAAACCTCAAAATATTTTACTGAAGTTCTCTGGAGAATCTCGCTATCCTGAACCCCATCAGATCACATTAAAAATAGGTAATGTAGTCATTTTACAAAAAAAACTATAAAAAATAAATTACTTTTATAAATGATTAATAAAAAAAAAGTTTTTCCTATTAATTATCTTTTGTTAATTTTTAGCTGACTTTGGATTTGCTAGATTTTTGGATGAAGGTGTTATGGCTGCTACAATGTGTGGATCTCCTATGTATATGGTATAAATTAAACTAAACTATGTTAACTTTTTCTTTAAATTTCACTATTAAGTTGACAATAACTATTTTATAACTTTATTTTACTTATTTATATGTATATTCATGTTGATTTGGTTTTTTATATTTAGGCTCCTGAAGTAATTATGTCTTTACAATATGATGCAAAAGCAGACTTATGGAGTTTAGGTACAATTATTTTCCAATGCTTAGCAGGCAAAGCTCCATTTTTTGCAAACTCACCAGCAGGTTTAAAGCAAATTTATGAAAAAACCAGTAACTTGATGCCAAAGTAAACTTTGAAGTACAGTCTTGAATATTAAATATTTTTTTTAATTTTAAATATAATTTTTTTAGAATTCCTCCTGGGACATCATTAGATCTATCAAATTTATTATATGGGCTTCTTAAAAGAAATCCTAAAGATCGTATATCATTTGAAGCCTTTTTTGATCATCCATTTTTAAAAATGAAACCACCACCAGTAACAATGCCATCTCCGCTAGCAGCTAGTCCAAAAGCGCAATCGATATTTGATCAAGGTAAACTTAAAAGAGTATAAATAACTCGCTCAAAAAAAAAAAAAATTCATTGGGTTAATTTAATATATTAGGTTATCAGTATTCTGCAAGTCCTGATCTTTCTGATGAATATGTTATAGTGCCATCGAATTTACCAAACTATCCTCAGTAAGTTAATATTATGTTATATTTTTAAATGAAAAAGAGCTTTAATTATTTTCATCTAATAAATTCTTTTATACATATAACATTTATGTTTCAAACCCCTTAAACTTTTATTAAATAAAAGTTTCAATTATATTTATAATTTAAATAGTATATTATTAATTAAGTACATTTCAATATCAGAGAGAAAGAACCCAGTGAAAGTCCTCCTCGACCAAGTACTTTATGTATTCAAACACAACAAGATTATAACAATTCTAGATCTCCTTCAAAAGTATGTTTTTGAAAATGAATTTTCTTAATTGAATTTAATTTAATTCTGTAATTTAAATTTTGATATATATGTTATTTTAATATGAATTATTTAATAAATAAATAATTAGTTCTTAAATTTATTAATAATTAAAAAATGTATATCTTACTTTTTTCAGTCTGTACCTAGATCACAACCAATATCTATGAATGGGAGACCTTCAAAAAATATAAATGGACCAGATTTCTGTTCAATATCTCCACCTTCTGTAAGTTAATGAATTTAATATTGATACTTTATAACATAAAATCATATGATAGTTAAGTGCTATTTTCTTAAATGGATCCATTGAAATATAGTAAAATAGAAATTGTTAGACTAATATTATTATTATTTTTAACTTGTTTTTTAATTTTAATCAAATAAATAAAAACTTTTTAAGTTCAAAGACAATAGAAAACCTAAACCTTTAGATTTCTTTTTTTTAATGTAATTCTATAGTTGTTGAAAAAACTTTAGTATTATTTTACATAAATAATTATTAACATAAGTCATCATATAACCATTATAATTTATAAGTTTACATTATTTTATATAAAAAAAAAAATAGACTTAGATGGTTGGGTCATATTATTCGGAGAAAATAATCAGAAGCTGTAAGAATATTTATAGAGATGAATTTTGATGGAAAAAGAAGTAGAGGAAGATCCAAAAGAGATAGAGGGATGCTATTGAATGCGATATGAGGACAGCTGATGTGAGCGAAGGTGATTTGGGAGATCGTGTCAAGTTTGAAGTTTAGGATAAGGGTGGCCAACCCCAAGTAATTGGGATTAAGGCGAAGAAGAAAAAAAAGATTATTTTATATAAAAATAGGAAAATATTTGTAAATATGTGTTTACTTAGCCACTGTTATATTTTTTATGATGTTTAATAAATTTTTGTACTAAAATTATTAAATATATTTAAATTTAACATGCATTGGGTTATAATTGAAAGGTGCAATTTATGCTTGGAACACCACCTTCTGGTAGGAGAACTTCAGAAACGCCACCAGCATTCAATACATGGAATATTACTCCTACTAGTTCTCCATTGAAAAAATCTGGTAATTTAAATTTTAATATTTTTCAATAATTGGTAGTAAAATTTTATATTTTTCAGTATTAAGTTCTCCAGTTTTATTGCAACAGTTTACATTTAATACTAATCAAAAACCAGGAACAGTTGGTTTACCTTTTAGTAGCAATAATAGAGCTATGACATTACCAGGTAATAATTTTTTTAAATATATATTTTTGTGTCTTTAAAAACAATTATATTTATGATAAATGTCTAAAGTATATAAAATTACATGATAAAAACTTAAAATTGTTTTAGAACTTGGTAATATAACTTTCCCTGAACTTCCTCAAGAAACAATACTAGAGGTAAAAACAAAATTTGTACACAAAGTAATTCACTTATCATAAACTTATGATTATTATTTTGTAAAACATAATTTAAAAATTATTTATTGTTAAGTATATTTTATTTTCATTTTTTATGTCTTATTAGGGTGTCAACTTAAGCACTAGATAAAAATATTTTAATTTTTTTAGTAATTAAGTTTATGATAAATAAATCATCCTGAAGATTTTTGTCCATAGAATTTATGTATTTATTTAATAAATATTATTTTTAGAAAGAACACATAGAAACATTAGCAAAGTTAAATTTTGTACTTGCCTTAGTGGAATGCATCGTTGAATGTGCTTCACCTAAAAGACCACGTTATGAAAGATTAGTTTTACTAGTAAGAGCATTGCAATTATTGAGTTCAAGTTTAAGTATTGCAACAGCTGAACTTAAAGCTGGAAGGTTACAACCATCAACAAATGTAAAAAATGGTATTTATAATTTGTTTTATATACAAGTGATCCACAATGTTTTGACAAATCTTATAACTTTTGATCAAGCAACATTTTCAAAGAAACTTTGGGTCGATAAGAACTTTAAGATGCTTGTTGAATTACAAACATTTTAATACATATAATGAGTATGTAACGCAGCTCATAGTGGTGTAAGTGCATTTTGCAGTGCTACATACCTACTTTATGTATAAAATGCTTGTAGCTCAATAAGTATTTATCCTACAGTTGATATTGACCCTTTTAAATTGTTTGTAAAAAAGAGTTAAAAATCGCTATTTAAAAAAAAAAAAAAAAATGTTTTTTTTTATTTGAGTTAAACAATAAAGATTATGTTTTATACATAATATAAAATTGTAAAAATTATTTTTAAAAAAATAACACAAAGTATTTGCTTTGTTAAAAGATATTAGATTTGTCAAAACATCATGGATTGTATACTTTAACCTAAACACATGTAGTAACAATGTATGAATATTAATTTTTGATATAGTTGTACACCAATTGAATGAAACATTTCATAAAGTAATGGATGATTGTAAACAAATAAATGTTCCAAATATGTTACAAAATACATCTACTTCAACTACTACAGCAGAAAAGTTGTTGTATGAATATGCTATAGAAATTGTAAGATAATACAAATTTTTTTGTTATTCTTAGTAAACTATAATTCTTACTCTTTTAGTGTGCTAAAGCAGCGTTAAAAGAATTGGGCAATACACCATATGACTATTTTAAGTCCTATCAAACAGCACAAATACTTTTACATAGCTTATCACAGCAAGTTAGCTCTCCTGCAGATAAAGAAATATTGATAAAATGTAATTAATTGAATTTTTTCCACTTAATTTCAGTAATATTAGAATTGTTTGATCTTTAGTTGTACTTTAATTTAGTATAACACTTTTTTTTTTTTTAATTTATTGAAAAGACAAAGTAATCTTTTTTGTGTCAATTTTATATAGATCGAGATGCAGTTGAAAAAAGATTATCAATTCTTCAAGAACAAGGTTATGTTTATTCAAACACTATAAATGGAAATGATTCAACTTAGTTTATATAATATAAAACATAACTTTAGTATGCTTTATTCTAGTCTTTAAATGGTTTATATTTTTTTGTTACATATAGTTATTACTAATGTGTTTGCAGTTTTTACCATAGAACTTATTTTCAATAATTATTTATATTACACGCTTATTATTAACAAATTTTTTAATAAAAATTTATTATTTATACTTCAAAAGATTTTTTTCTTACGAGTTAGATTGTGATGAAGTTTCATTAATAAGTGATCAAGATTATAATAAATTATTAAGTTAGTACTTGTGTAAAACTAGATGTTATATATAGTACTATAAAAGATCTTAACACAGACTATATGAAAATTAGTCTGCCATAGTCTGTGACTATTAGCCAATGTTTAAATAATTAAAAATCATCAAAACTAGCTCACAAAATCAAATTGTTGTTCTAATAAAATTAAAATTTCAAATTAATATTAATATATTTTATATGCATATAGTATTTTAATAATTTTACAAAAATATTTTAGCTTCAATGTAAAGCTCAGAAGGTATTTATTTTACGATGATGTATTTTATTTTTAAAATGCTATTTAAGAATTTTTTATCTATATTTTTGTAGCAAGTAATAAATTAACCAATTTCTATGCAAAACTTTTATAATTTTAATGGTATAAATCTAAAACAAATAAGCACTTAACTAAGATTAGAAAAACGTTTACACATATTTGTTCTTTTAAGAAAAGGATAGAAAGGGTATCTAACTTTAATAAGTATAAGTTCTTTTTTAATTTCTGGGTTGAATCTAGAAACAAGGTTGATTTCTCAAATATTTTCAAAATGGAAGATTTTTCAGTTTATGTGGAAATTCCAATAATATTGATAAACAGTTATTCACTTGAACTATTTAAAATTAAAATTAAAAAATATAAACTGACCTAAATACTAGGATAATTAATCGAACTTTAAATTCTATGAAATTAAAAAATATTGACCAAGGCCAAGGCCAATACACGAAATAGAAAATCAATGTTTATTTTTTATATATGAATAAATACTTCAAATTAAAACTTATAACTTCATAAATAATATTTTCCTGTTAACTGATTAAGATAATAAGCAACAATTATTAGGTGTAAAATTTTCGATAAAAAAAAACAATGGATATTTACGGTTCAGTAAATTCGTTACTATCTTTGATTACATCAGAACAAAACAATCTCGCCCCTCCATTTTAATGATAACGGTGTTTATATTTTGTCAGCTGATTCAAGATTACAGATTACTGTACCTTTTTGTGGGCTATTTCGCAGTTAGTACCAGCTGATCTTTTTCATAATAAATTTAATATTTGTTCGACTAAGTAAGAGTAGTAATTTTACAAAAGGATAAACTTTGTCATAAAGGCCATCTAGGTTTTTCATGATGTTTTTTTTCCACCGAGGTCTTTATAGTGACATGATTTCTGACCAATAATTAACTGTATTTAGTTGAATAGTGTAGACATTAGTTTGTACATAGTAACAAAAATGTTAGCTCTAGACGTTATACCAGAAAGATCTTTGGGCTGCGAACAATGGGAATTTGTTTTGGGTAAGTATAAATGACCTACAAATTTTTCCTGATGCACTCTACACTAATATGTGAAGTGTAAAAATCATGAATATTAATGATTTTAAAAATACTTCTCCTTACAAATATATAATTAAAAGTTAGATTATATTTTATTAATATTTATTTTATAGCTTCAGGTTCATCAATTTGTGTTGTTTTTTTTTAATTTGGTTGTTAACATACAGTGGTGTATTTACATGGAGGACAAGTAGGGCAATTGCTCCCAACTTCTTCTCTAAGTGATTTTTTTGTTTTTTGGATTTTTATCAACCATACAAAAAACTAATAACTAATTATTTTTATCTACAACCTTATTATCTGATTTTCGATTGCTAGTATTTAAACTAATATGGTTAGAGCAGTGAATGGTAGATTATAAATTCTGACTATGCTATAATTTTCTTAATAGTTAATTGATAACTTTAATTTTATTAAACAAAAATTGAATTTAATATGCAGAAACAGACTGGCCCATTGTGGTACAACACAGTGGGTCGGTGTTTATTGTATCTATGATTTAAGGGTAGAGATACTATAGCCACAATTATTAACAATTTAATATTTTTTTGTACTTTATTTTCATATTTAACTTAAATGAAAAAAAACATTTTTTTTTATTTTGTACAACAAATAGTTACATAAACATATTTATAATTAATCCATAGATAAATAATTGTTTGAATGTTTAGAAGGGCTTTAATAATTTAAGCTATTTAACCAGGGAGACTTATATTATTTTAATTAAAAAAGTATAGGGATTTACATCATTGAGACCCCTGTAATGTTTGTTTAAATTATTAAATTTGTCTCAAATAATTAAATTGACATGCATAAAAAAAATAGATGCGGGCCAAATATTTTTCTAACAGTGTTGACCGACTACCCTTCAATTTGACCCTATTAATATGTCATATTTCAATGAATGCAATAAATATATTGTTGTTAAAAACTAAAAACCCTTATCATTTTTTAAAATTTTATTTGATACAAAATATTTATATACATATCATGTTTATACATTATTAAATAAAAGAGGTAATATTGATTATTATTAGTGATGGGCATTTTCGAATATTTTAAACTATCGAATAGTATACGATAGTTTTTTAAAACTATCTAATAACTATTCGAATAGTTTTTATACAACCGAATAGTTTATTTTTAGCATAAACTATCGAATAGTTTTTAAAACTATTCGAATATATTGTATAACTATCGAATATTTTTACTATTCAAATATTTTTTGAATGACTATCGAATAGTTCGATAGTTTCTATTCGATATTTCCCATCACTAATTATTATTAATTTTAATAAAAATAAAATCATTTTTATAATTCATTTATTTATTTACATTGTTTTTAAATTGTGAAAATAAAAGATTTTGTAATAAACAATATAAAAAATTTTCATGTAAATTGGCCTCTACCCTAAATCTTGGATACACCAACTTTGATTTTAAATAACGTGTATACAAATATAATTATGAAAATTATTTGTTCTATTTATTATTATCCACGATCTAATATGTAATTTACTAAGATTTTTTTATTAATAACTAATGATATTTATGTAAATGATATTAAAAAAAAGTGTTTTTATTAAATCAATAAAACTGTTTTATGGATGTAATACAAACATTGAGTTACATAGTTTTGTTAATTAATATGTTCAACTACTATACTCTTATTTATTTTTAGGAATGCATTTTTGTCAAGCAGTAGCTATTATCCAATCCCAAGTCGGTATTATTAAAGGAGTTCAAGTTTTATACAATGAAAAGGTACCATTTTTACAATTATTATTAATATATATCGTCTTTAATAAGTAAGGCAACAGGTTTTTATTGTTACCATTGTTTGTAATTGACCTGTTCCTATCTTTTTTAACACCTATATAAATTAATTTATCATTGACAACTAAATTTTTCCCAAAATAATTATGATCTTGAAAATTTTAGGTCCAAATAGACCTAAAAGTTTTTTACCATTTATATATCAAGAGATAAATACTACAAATCAAAGTCAAAATATCATTATATAACAAAGCACGGCACATCTTAGGATATCCATCTTTCAACTTTGAACTTTGAAAGAACAATAACAATTTTATAAATAACTACTTAAATATAATTAACCTTATTACTAAATTATAAAAAGTATTAAGAAAAAAAAATTGTAAACATCTTATGTTTAAATTTCATAGAAATTTTTAAATATCAAATTTATTATATATTACAGGCTAATGAATTTAGCTGCCAAAGCCTTAAATTTTAATTAAAAAACAATTTCAAGATTATCATTATTTTAGGAAAAATTTAGTTGTCAATGATACTTCAATCACCCTATATATATATGAGTTCAAAAACAATTTTTTAATAAAACTAATCTTATAGAATCCTCTTAAAGTGGATCTTATTTTGGACCTCCCACAAGATGGAATTCGATTTATATTTGATCCCATTCTACAGCGTTTAAAAGTAAGTAACACTTTTATAATTTTCTTATGAGTTTTCTAACTAAATTTTTAATTATAGATTATTGAAATTATTAATTTGAAAAACATTAAACTCAAATATTGGTGAGTATTGTATAAAGTAAATTTAATGTTTTTTTAATTAAAATTAAATATATATTTATTATTTATATACTATATTATTATCTCAGTGGTGTACTATTTAATGCTCCTGAAGTTATGCCTACCATTCAGCAAATAGAGCATACATTTGGTGCAACTCACCCTGGTGTATTTGATGCAGAAAAGCAAATATTTACATTAAATTTCCGTGGAATTTCCTTTTGTTTTAATGTTGATTCTAAATTTCAAGTAAGTAATTGTTTAATAATAATAAAAGCATTAACTTCAATAAATCAAGTGTTGTTTATAGGATTTCATAAATCTTATTATTATATTATGTATACATAATATTATATATTTATAAATTCTCTAAGCTAAGAAACTACCCTATAAAAATTAATTGTGTAGCTAGAATTAAAAATTTAAACAAATTTTAGTTTTAATTAAAATTTTTTGATTGTGATAATGTTCAATATTGATCCTTGACAAAGTTATTTTTAAATAACTTCAATAGGTATTATTAAAATGATTTTTAGAAAAATATTTAAAATTCTTAATTGCCCGATATTGATGATAATGATGAAAATAATATAGTTTTTTAGACAATTATTTTTTCATTTGGAAGAAGTTGAATGAAAGATTTGATGCCACGTTTGTAGTTTATTTAATGTTCTGTGTTGTTTTCCTTCATAGATCTTCTTTTTACACAAATTTACAGATATCTAGCTCAAATATTAGATACTTGAATTTTAAATTATTTTGGCATTTCAATATTTATACCTACTAAAAATAGTAAACACAATATTGAAAAATAATTTTAAATAAAATATTTGCTTCTATATTTATTTGGAAGGTCGAATGTTCTATATTGTCAAAGTAATTCCAGTATTTATTGTTGTGGTATATGACTGTTTATTGACATTATTACAATAAATGTTTAGAATTATTATCCTTCTAAGTTTCTACATTAAATAAATGTGTCTTTATCAATTACACTAATTTATCATTTTGTTTAATTATACAAATTACATGTAAATTTATATAGAAATATTTTTAAGGAGTGAAGTAATAAAGTTAGATATACATGGGTGATCAATAGTTTTTACAAGAAAATTACTCTACGTCTTCTTGTTTTTAAGTCAATAACAGAATGTCTGAACAAAAAAATGAAGAAAACAAAATTTTTGTTATTTTTTAAATTATTAAAAGAAATTTTATTTTTAAATTTGGTAGTCCTTTAAAAATTTTATTAATTTCTCTGTACTAATTTATTTATTAGTATGACATTAAATTATAATAAATAGTGTGATAAAAACATTTCTATATTACAATAATATCGTAATATTGTAGGAAAAATATCTTTCTTTAATTTATTTATTATAATTTTTTAATTTTTATTATTATTATTAATATAAAATTAATAGGCTGGAAGTGCACAATGTGGTCTAGGATCTTTACAGTTTGCTAATGGAACATCTCCAAATGTTAATAGAGTTATTATTTTTTCTGGGCATTCATTACCTGGACAAGATTCTCTAAATGTTCCACCACATCCTCTATCCTGTTATAAAGGACTAAGTTATTTAGAACGATTAGAAGTCATACGTGATCATAAAAATACCAAAGGATTTTCAATACAAATTTATTTAGAGGGTTCTGGTAAATAATTTTTTTATTATAACTCTTTTGTTATTTTTTTAATTAATCATTGAAAAAAAATTTTCTAGGTGCTAATCGAGGACGTAAAGTGTCATATACCCGGGAAATTCAATTTGGTATGTCATGTCAAGATGTTACTTCTTTGTTAGGTGCCCCATCACAAGTTTTTTATAAATCTGAAGACAAAATGAAAATACATTCACCCAATGTCCATAGACACATAACTGTACCACGACGTTCAGATTATTTCTTTAATTATTTAACTTTGGGTTTTGTGAGTTAAAAAATTTTATTAAAAATAATTATTGAATACTCATGAAAATAATTTTTTATTACTCAGGATATACTCTTTGATGCTAAAACTCACAAAGTCAAAAAGTTTATTCTGCATACAAATTTTCCAGGACATTATAACTTTAATATGTAAGTAATAAAGTGACCTAAAAAATAATTTTTATTCTATTCATAAATCACAATAAATCTTTTAGATATCATAGATGTGACTTTACCATATCCATAATTACAGAAAAATCAAAATTCGATTTATCAAATGACTGTAAAAAGTATTCAGATAAAAAAACAAAATCAGTTATTGTAAGTACATATACTAAGTGGGATGAAATATCTCAAAAATTTAAGCATAGTGAACGACCTGTAGTTTTAAACCGAGGATCATCTGAAAACTCTACGAACCCATTTGGATCTACATTTTGTTATGGTTTTCAAGATATGGTTTTTGAAGTTATGCAAAATCAACACATTGCTTCAATAACATTCTACCAAAATAACATTGAAGAAGATGTATGACGAAAACTTTTTGCCACAAAGAATTCAGTGGCAATAAAACATTCTATTAATAAGTTAACTTCATATTATCACTGATGCAGTATTTTATTAGTTGTTATATAAGAATCTGCAAAATACAAAACATAAATGTTATAAAGAAACAAGTATTATAAAATGTAAAAAAAAAGTGTATTTATTTATGCTGTAGAAGTGACAATTTTTTAATTTATTTATTTAGTTTTAATTATATAAAAATATGTATTTATTTATCTATTTAAAAATTATACAAATAATAGATAAAAAAATAATTTTCGTGTTTATATAATATTAGTTAGTAGATTTTTGTTACAAACTTACTATAATTTATTGTACATATTATTATGTACTCTATATACATTCATATATTTTTCTTGGTTTGCTTTATTTAAATTTTTAATGTACTATAATAATTTTAGGCTATGTTTATATTTTAACATTGTAAATAAATCCACTTTTTCAATTTATATTTTTCTTAACAATTTAAACTTTATGCTTAAAATTTTTAATTAGTTAATTTTTATCTAAGTAAAAGTAAATCCTATTTTTTGATCATATTTTAAAATTAAATCCATTTAAAGATTTATTTTATGATCTCAATTAATAATAAACATGACAACATTTATGCATTAAATGTATATTTTTTTTTTATCTCACAGGGTCAAAATTTCATTATAAAATACATTATTATTAATTTGTATACAATATTAAGTTATTATTAATTCATTATTACTATAGATCTATGTGATAGCTATAATACTTCAATGTATAACTTCTTATCTTGTAGATTATTTATTTAAAACTTTAGACATATATAAGTTGTAATGTATGATTTAATTTATAAAAATTCCAATCCTGTTACCATGATACAGAGTATTTTTGATGTTTATGACAAATAAGTAAATAAAGTATATAGTTTATGAATGCATTTTAATCATTTACATTTATTTAAAATATTCCTCTTTAATACATATTACTTCAGTTATATTAATTGTTAAGATTGCATTGTCATTCAGTGTTATTAAGCATTTTAATACTTGAAAAATATTAACAATTAATTTTACAAGTTAAAACTAGAGAATCTAAGATTATTCTTGTGTAAATTTTTAATCAAAGAAAATAATTCCATTCTACTGAATATTTCATTTTTAATATTTATTACATATAAATGCTATATATATAAATATTTTTTTAGACAATTAAACAGGAGATTCAAAATTATTGGTTATGATTTTAAACGTATTTTTTCTTAGAATAAATACGGATTTAATTTACAAATTTTTAATTTTTTCGTTATATTTATTTTGTACTCTATGTTCTATGATGTAAAATTATGTAATAATAATCACAATTAATTATTAAAAAGATAATTAGTGTTGTTGATACTTTTAGTATATAAAATTGATTAAAATTCAAAGACGTCATTTCAGATTTTATTCGGATAAAGTCGCTAACGGTTAATTTCCGAATAACTCGTACCAGAGACGCGTTATAATTGCAACAATTATTCGGAAGGATCGGTATTTTATGATAAATTATTTATTGGTAGGATTGATAGAACTGTGAATTATCAAAAACTATACTTTTTGGTATGTATATAATAAAGGAATGTTAAAAATTGGATTGATAAAAATACTGAAAAATTTTACTAAGGAATTATCTAGGAAAATAGAAATAAATAATAAATTTACATGGACGATACCAATTGTAAACGGAATTCCGTTTAATAATCAATAATAATAATGTTTTAACAAATTGAGATCAGCAACTGCTAATTGATACCCCAGTGCGTCGATAGCAAAGTATAAAATATAGTTTTTTTTAACTATATTTAGTTAAAAAAAACTAAAAAACACGCTTTTAAAGCACAACGAACTAAAAAGTTATAAATAATTGTTAAAATAAGCTCAAAACAATAATGAACGAAAAATACTAGTATTATTGTAAAAAAAAGCGTCGGGCACTCAACAATACGTCAAATAATTACGAATTGTAATTATTGACGAATCGAGTTTGATATGATAATTTGATATTGTAGGTTTCAAATGCAAAAGTAAATAATTTTACTTTGTAATTTATTAATTTTTAACTCTATTTGTGTGTGTTACTAACAGTCTATAATATTCCAAATTTTTTGGTAACATTTTTTGCTATATAAAACACAAATCTAAAAAAAAAAAAAAATGATTGTTAATTTCTCCTGAATTAACAATGGATTTTTACAATTATAAACAAATTTTATAATACGCTTTATTAAGTAGATCTTTTTAACAACTTTTTTTGATTGGTTTTATTAGTTAAAGTAAATCATTAAAATTAATTCAGTTAATATTTTAATTGTAGAATCTTTTTAAACACCTAAAGTTACTAGAAAATGATTACTATTATTTCTATTTAAGTTATCGATTACGATAAAAATCCAAAAAAATATTGAGCTTTTCTGATAAATTTACTATAAATAGTAATTATAAAATTTCCAGACTACATATTAATCTTAACGATACAATTTTTTTAATTCTCATAAAATTTTCTATTTATTGATGTTAATTTCAAACTTGTCAGTTGAGCTAAAAGTTATGGTTATAAATTATTTTTTTTTATTATAAAATTTCACAAAAATCAATTATAAAGGATTAAATATGTTATTTTCCTTATTTTAAACATATTAAAAATTAAAATCAGTATTAATTTAAAACAATTTTATTTTTGTTCTTAATTATTTTATCTTCGATGCGAAGCTGAGAAGGTATTAATTTTACTAAGATGTGTTTTTTTTTTATTAATTTTCTTTTTTTATGTCTGAACGCCCAATCTCAGCTTTCTCTGGATCGATTTTAACGAACAATACGTCAAAAGACCATAAATCGTATCTAGTCGAAGACATTACTCTCAAAAATTGAAAAAAATTCCCTCGTTCCTCGTAAACGAGGGAAATCCCACAAAAAATTACAAACTTAAAAATCGTTAATTTTTTTTATATGTAATTACTTATTTTTTAATAATAAGTAGTACTATTATAACTTAATATTGATAGAAAAAGTAGATAGATATTGCACCTTTAAAAACAGCACAAAAAATTAATTTAGAAAGTATATTTTTGTTTCTGATGAAAGTTTCTTGTAGTCCAGTGTATAAAACTTATAACTTTGTTATAAGTAACAAAAATGTTTTATTGAAAAGTATAGCATCAAGCCCTTTAAATTTTTATACGCGTTAAAATATACAACTGCTTTATTATTTTAATAATATCTCCGTAAAAATTATAATATTAAATTGTTGAATTCAACTTCATACTAAATTTAATTACTTTAATTATTATTTATTCCTATAATTATTTATATATATATTTATAATTATAAATCAAATAACTAATCGGGATAAAATTAAGAGAATAAGAGTTATTGTGACTTTTGAAATAATCAACCAATTTCTTAAAATTAAACAATATCTACAGATTTGCATTGAAGCGATTCTTATGATGGTGATTTTAATCACTGTCAAATATCATCTATACTTGTCCCAACTATGACACGTCCATTCTGTGCTACCGTTTTTAAATAATATTTATTAATGATTTTTTTTTTTTAACAAAACGTGTTATTTATAAAATTAAGGACTACGACGCAAAAAAAAAAATTGATTTACATTTATTATACTTATTTATAATATTATCAAATTATAATTGTTCATATTTTATTTGTTATAATAGTCATACATCATAAATTATATAAGTGTTCAAATAGTGGTTTATCTTTATTATACAATTTAATCAACATTTTTTTTGATTATCAATTGTTTTTATGAAAACTTATATAATTTAAATTATAAATGAAAATTCCCATAACTATTTTTAATACTAAAATTTCCAATATAGAAATTAAATAATTATCTAAATAAATGGTTTGTAATACGCATAGTAAATAATAATGATTTTATTTTGTTTACTTCCAAATGCAAATAAATTCAATTTTTTAGAATATCAGTTGCGTACATTAAAGACATTTTTTCGATATTATTAAGACACAAAACACTTATTATGACTAATCGTTGGTATTGAATATACAAATTAAGAATACTCAAAATTGGTATTTCGAATTTCGTTAATTATATTACATTTATTTATTATAATATACTTGTATATATGTATGTATATTATATTAAGGGGCGTGATGTAAAGTAGTGGATCATTCAATCCCCGTCTTAGAGTTGATGCTTAACTGCTGGTCCCTCCTCAGCCATAATGAGGTTGTACCTGGTCGACAGTCGGTGTAAAAATTCTGTCAAATCAATAAAGTAGAGTACCTCAAATAGTTGGGATAGAGACTATGGTGATGATGATAATGATGTATTTTATATTAATTTCACTCTAATATTTTTATTTAACAATTTAATTAAATGAATTTAGTGAAATCAGCGGCGTATTTAGAAAAAACATAATGACATGTTCATAGGCAGTGTTATGCTACTATAACAATTGTTCCTAATAAAATATTAATAGAGATAATAAAAATTCATGAAAATTCAAAGAAAATTATAAAATAGTTTAAAAGAGACTACGCATAAGTGTAATAAACATTTTATCAACTCAAATTTTGAAAATGTTTCGAGACGTCTGACAAACCAAAACCAACAAAAAACTAAAGAGTTATTTTAACTTACATTATTATAAAAAAAATAAAATGTTTCGACGGTTTATCTACTATAAAAAAATAATCAATGAAGCCAAAATTTCTATAAATTTTTTATATTGTGTATCACTTTGATTGAAGTATTTATTGGCTAATTTTTCAAAAGTAGCTTGCGTAATTAGTTTGACAAAAATAGATTATAATGCATAATTTTAACAAAACCCAGCACAGGGGGGTCGCGGCACAATGGTGACGTGGCATAGTTGGATCAAGTATAATGATATCTGACAGTGATTAAAATCACTATCAAAAATAAACGCTTCGATGCAAATCTTTAGATAGTGTTTAATTTTAAAAAAATTGGTGTTTTATTCCAAAAGCTACTTGATCTGCTGGTTCCTTATTAATATCTCGATTAAGATAAAGTATGTCGAATGAAAAAGGGTTTATTAAAAAATATTATTTCTCATAAAAAAATTGTGTGGATCCATAAACTTTTCAATAAGTTATAGCATTATAAAGTTAAATATTATATAAATAATAAAATCGAGAATTTTCACACGAAAATAGCATTCGGTAGCCATTTTCACCGTGAAGACAAGTCCAGAGGTCAAATTTTTTTTTTTCAAATTAAAGTACATTACTTTAGCTTTAATTTAAGATATATATAAAAGTGTCAGACCTTCCGGAACATTTTCAAAAGTTATGTTGATAAAGTAAATTTTTTGTGAAAAAGTTGTCATTTTAAATCCCCCCCTGTGGGCAGGTTAAGTGTCAGATTTACAAAAAAAATATACCAAATGATAAGTAAAGACTTCAAGCATCTATATAAAAAAAATTTATATTGATATGGTCATTTTTGAAAAAGTTAGAGCATTATTAAGTTAAAAATATAAAAAAAAATTATTTTACAAAAATCGTAATTTTTTATTAACTTTGATGTCAACTTTCACCACGAAGACAAGTCCAGAGGTCAAATTTTTTTTTTTCAAATTAAAGTATATTACATAAGCTTTAATTTAAGATATATATAAAAGTGTCAGACCTTCCGGAACACTTTCAAAAGTTAAGTTGAAAAAGTTCTACTTTCTATATGCATTTTTTATATTTGAAGCCCCCCCATATATAGGGAAATAGTCTGATTTAAAAAAAAAGTATATCCAATGAAAGATGTATATAAATACTACTTCTCATGAAAAAATTGTGTTGATCCATACATTTTTTGAAAAGTTATAGCACTTTAAAGTAAAAAAAAACCCAGCACAGGGGGGTCGCGGCATAGTTGTGACGTGGTATATTT